TGTTTCCCTCATTGCCAGGATCCACAGGTCCAGGAATCAAGGGGTGGATGTGGTGGTTTGAAAGAAAATGGCCCCCAAAGGGAATGGTACTATGAGGAGGTGTGGCCTTGTTGGAGTAGGTATGACCTTGATGGAGGAAGTATATTACTGTAGAGATGGGCTTTGAGGTCTCATATATGCTCAAGCCATGCTCATTAAGACAGTTCACTTCCTGTTACCTTTGGATCAAGATGTAAAATTCTCAGCTCCTTTTCCAGAACCATGTTTGCCTGTACACTGCCATGTCCCAGCATGATAATGAACTAAACCTCTGAACCATAAGCCATTCCATTAAATGATTTCCTTTATAAGAGTAGCTGTGGTCATGGCGTCTCCTCACAGCAGTAGGGACCCTAACTAAGACAGTAGAAAAGGGAATAGTTTCACTCACTGTCATCTCTCGTGACGCACTAGGAAAATCTTGCTTCCTGTTCCCATGACCTTAAGTTCTGCTGGTCTAGAAGTTTTGATTCCAGAGAGGATTGGGGGTAGTCCTGCTAGGAGATACAACAAACATTTCTTTGATCGGGAAACTCAGGCTTCCCCTGGCCACTTTGAGCTTTTGATGCCTTTAAGCCAACAGACTAAGAAAGGAATAAACCGTGTTAGGAAGAGTGATTGATCCAGATTACCAAGGGGAAATTGGATTGCTTTCCCACAATGGAGGTAAGAAGGATTATGTCTGGGTGGAGGAGATCCTTTAGAGCATCTCGTGGTGCTACCATGTCCTGTGATTAATGTCAATGGGAAACTACCACAGCCTAATCCAGGCAGATGACAAAGGGCACAGACCCTGAAGGAATGGAGGTATGTGTTGTGGAATATTCTTTTAAGATGTGTTACATTCATTTATGCTGTGGAATATCTGTTTGATAATGCAAAGATGTGTGATAATGCAAAGATGTGTTGCATTCTTGTATGTTGCATTTGTTTAACTCTGTGAAGCTGTGTTACTTTGCCTGTCTAAAACACCTGATTGGTCTAATAAAGAGCTGAACAGCCAACAGCTAGGTAGGAGAAAGGACAGGCAGGGCTGGCAGGCAGAGAGAAGAAATAGGAGGAGAAATCTGGGAAGAAAAAGATCCGGGGGAGCAAGAAAAGGAGAGGAGGACATCAGGGGCCAACCACCCAGCTATGCAGCAAGCCACGGAATAAGAAGTAAAGAAAGGTATATGGAATAAAGAAAGACAAAAGCCCAGAGGCAAAAGGTAGGTGGGATAATGTAAGTTAAGAGAAGCTGGCTAGAAACAAGCCAAGCTAAGGCCAAGCATTCATAAGTAAGAATAAGACTCCGTGTATTTATTTGGGAGCTGGGTGGTAAGACCCCAAAGAGCAAAAGATTAAAGAAAAGAAAAAGAAAAAGAGAACCCAACAACAGGTATGGATCATTCCTCCAGGAAAAGAGCCAAGGCCTGCTGAGGTGTTTGGGGGTGGAGGAAATACAGAATGGGTGTTAAAGGAAGGTAGTTATAAATACCAGATAAGGCCAAATGACCAGTTGCAGACATGAGGATTATAACCGCCATAAATGTTTGTCATATTTTATTAAGAATGTGTTTGTACAGATATTTGTATTTTCTTTCCTCCATTTCTTTATCATGTAATATTAGTTAAGAAGAGTATCAGTGGTTATCACATTTAAGTTTTGAGATACTAAAACAATCTCTCTCAAGGGACATTGCCACCTATACTAACTGTACAATGTATTAGCAGTTGTACAAGAGATAGTTATATTATGTTAGCTGTAATTATGACCTGGTTAAATATATAACGTGTTTGTGATTGTACATGGGATAGTTAGGCATTATTATGACCTGGTTGTTTATACTTGGAAATTAAGCATAGCATAAAGAGATATAATTGTGTGTCAAGCTGACAAGGGGTGGACTTGTGATGGCTGTTTTTGGTTGTCAACTTAATGACAGCTGGAATGAACTAAAACCCAAGTGACTGGGTACACCTGTGAGGGATTTTTTCCCCCCTTAATTCCTTTGAAGTCTGAAGACTCATTTTTAATCTGGATCTTCTGAGGTGAGAAGATACACTTTTAATCCAGATCTTTTGAAGTGGGAAGGAAGGTCTACCTTTAATCTGCACACCTTCTGTCAGCAGCATATATAAAGGACAGAAGAGGGAAGCTTGCTCCCTTTGCCTGCTTGCTCTAGCTCTTGGTGGCAAGTCCATTCCTTCACTGGCATTAGAGCCTACTTGGCATATGCTGAAGACCAGCTGAGACATCCAGCCTCATGAACTGAACAACTATTGGATTCTTGGACCTTTTGTTGGTAGACAGCCATTGTTGGACTAGCTGGACCACAGCCTGTAAGCCATTCTGATAAATTCATATATATGTATCCATTCTATAAGTTCTGTTCCTTTAGAGAATCCTAGCTAATACACACACATAAACCAACTTTTGCAATTAAACTACAAGGACAGTTTGGTTTCAGTGGGCTGAAAGACACATTTTCTTGCATTTAGCATACATACTATACTTTAATTCCCTACTTGAGGAGCATTTGGGTGGCAGCCAGGGTTTCATTGTTTGGAATGATGCTGCAAAACATAGCCTTACATTTCTTCTCCTGTCACAGGTTATTTTTATTCAGGCCTTTTATTCCAATGGATGTTTTGTTCTAAGTTACTGAAGATAAACATTTAAAAATTTTGTGTAGAGTGCTTTGCCTGCAAGCATGTATGTATACCACATGGTATGGTGCCCATAGAAGCCAGAAAAGGTCATCTGAGCTCCTGGAAGTAGAGTTACAGATGGTTGTGGGTGCTACGTGGGTGATGGGAATCGAACCTGGGCCCTCCACAAGAGCAGCAGTATGAACACTGTAATAAGAATCGGGCCAATAGAGAGGTATTTTTGTTAAGACTTTTTTCAGTGCAAACTCCTTGGTTACGAGTGCAGGTGTTAGGTTACATAGACTGCTTATGTTCACTGTGACTGCCACTGCTTAACAGCTTCATGAGTGACAGCAAGGCATCTGCTGTTGCTCTGCCCGCTTCCTCATTTGTAAAGTGGAGATAACAACAGCATCTCTCTCATGGGCATTAGGGAAATTGAAAGAAAGGGTCGCTATAAAACCTTTAATGTATGGCTGTTGGCATCTGAAAGCATTCTGTGGAATGAGCTATTATACTCTATTAGTCTCATTAAAGATATTCAGATTGTTTCTCTCAGGATAATTTCATTATAAATTTTATAGTAAATGCTTGCCATTTTCTTTCATCCTGGGGCTACATAAAGTGTTCCAGGCTGAACCTCTTGCCATTAACTTTGTTTGGGGCCATTGTCCCTCGATCTGGGTTCCTTAATAGTTACTTTATCCCATTATGAGTTCTAAGTCATAAGCCCAATTTTCCATGTCTGAGCTTTAGCAAGTCGTGTTTTTAGCACTAACAAATCATTGCATATGCATTTTAGCCCCTGTCACCCTTGAGAAATGTATTATTTTCATAAATTTTAACTTTTCCTTGTGCCCTGTACAGAATGTTCCTAGTCATAACATTGTAAAGTAAAAAGTTTGGGATCAGATACCATTTCAAATTCCCCAGCGTACTTGTGTCTATTTTGGGACTCAATAATCATTTCTAGTTGCTTTTCTCTGTGTTTTTGAACCACATTGTTTAAACTATTTTAGCTGTACTGGCTGCGTACCCCGTTTTTCAAATGCCTGAGACCACATGTTTCCTACTTCAGAGTTTTGTACTTCCAGCTGTGGTCTTTACCAGCTGAGCATTCCTGAGCACCCTAAACCCCAAATTGGACACGTCTGACATCACTGGATCTAGATTTCTGGATTAGAGATGTTCAGATTGTAAAACTTGTTTTATATGTCAGGGTTTGTTCCTCTGTTTTGCTTTCTGTCGTATTTCAAACTCGGCCTTCTGAGATTTTGAATGAAGATGATGTCCTCCTGCTAAGTCCTTTTCCATATACATATTTTTTTAAAGATAGGCTCTCACTGTGTAGCTCTGGTTAGCTTGGAACTCACTATGTAGACCAGGCTGTCCTCAAATTAAGAATTCAGCCTCCCTCTCTGCCTTTTGAGTGCTGCTACCATTCCTGTCTTATTTTAAAAAATTGTAAGTGTGTGTGTGTGTGTGTGTGTGTGTGTGTGTGCAGGAGGTGTTGTTGACCAGAAGGTGTCAGATCCCTTGGAGCTGTAGTTACAGGTGGTATGAGCCACTGGATGGGGATACGTTGTGTTTGGTTGTTTTTTTTATTTTATAGGTTTTTTTTTCTGTTTTTGTTTTGTTTTAGAGATCTAAGTGTGGTGACTCACACTTGTTTCATTTAAGATTTATGAGTGTTGCGCTTGCATGTTATGTATGTGTACCACGTGCATGCCTGGCACCCATGGAGGCCAGAAGGTAAAATCAGAACCCTTGTGACTTAGAGTTATGGATGGTTTTGAGCTGCCATATGGGTGCTAGGGATTGAACCTGGGTCCTATACAACAGCAGCAAGTGCTTTAAACCACTGAGCTCTCTCTCCAGCCCCTTTTGTTTGTTTTTAAGACAGAGTCTCATGTAGCCCGGACTGGCCTTGAACTCCATTACTAATATGTAGCCAAGGCTTTGAACTCCAGATCCCTTGCCCCCACTTCCCAAGTGCCGACATGGCAAGCATGCCGTCACATCCGACTTGAATTCAGTTTGGCTGGTAAGCATGATGGCAGGCAAGTCCCCATCTCCACAGGCTTCCACCTGTTTCACTGAGGCTTACCGCCCCAGGAGAGCGATGTGCCGTATTTTACAGAAATACCCTCGAATGCACACTCAGAATGTTTAACCAGATATCTGGGTGCTCTACAGTCAAGAGGACACCAAGAAATTCGCTCACGGTTGTGTTACAGTTCTGGTCCACCTGCCTGGCTTCATTCCTGGGTTCAGTTTGCCTAACACTAGCCCTTTCTCTTTGTCTTCCCCTCCCTCCACCTCATATACAGGTTTTCCAAGGACACTTCCACAGGCAGAAGCCCTGGACAGAGTTTACCAGATAGACACAGTGATAAACCTCAACGTGCCCTTTGAGGTCATTAAACAACGCCTTACTGCTCGCTGGATCCATCCTGCCAGTGGCCGAGTGTACAACATTGAATTCAACCCTCCCAAGACTGTGGTGAGTAACGGCAGCGGGGCTGACACACAGCAGAGTGTCCCCGAGTTCTCTTCCCCTCACAGGCAGAGTTCTGTAACCCTGGACATCCTCTGTCTGACGAAGTCCACTGCCAGGGTACTTGATGGGTCTGGTCCACTCAAGCTTGGTAGTAAAGGTGCGTTCCTTTGGAACAGGTCTGCGCCTTGCTCAAGTGTTATGGTTTAACTATGAAATGTCCCCCATAGGCTCAATGTGGTGACTGCTTGGTCCCCAACTGGTGGTGTAGTTTCTGAGGTGGAGCCTAACTGGAAAAGTGGGTCACTGGGACAGTACCTCTGCAGATTATGCATGATCCTTAGTCCCTTCCCCGACCTTCTTCTTGTGCATCCTGTGAAGAAGACCTGAGCCCTCTGAAACAATCTGCCAAATACACAGCTCCTTCCTTCTACTTGGTTTTCTCAGGTGTTGGCTACAGCAGTGAGAAACCTGACACAGACAAAAAGTGTTGATTTTCTTACTCTGGGCCAGGGTGTGAGTGAAGGGCAGAGGCAGTGAGGATCTGCAACACGGACTTGTGGTTGGAATTTCTACCACACCTGGGAACCAACACTCGAGGACCTGGGCCTAGGGACAGACGGGGCATCCCAATCCAAACCCTACAGCACTATGGAAATGGCCCTAGGGGTTCTCACAGCGGCAGTCATCTGCCTTTAGTTGGGATCCTGTTCACTGAAACATGAGCACATTTCTGTGATGGGTGCTGGAATAGAGAGGCTCTCTGCTTAGAATGACACTGTCACGCTGAGCTGACATTCTTCAACGTCTGTCCAGGGCATCGATGACCTGACAGGAGAACCTCTGATTCAGCGTGAGGACGACAAACCAGAGACGGTGATCAAGAGACTAAAGGCCTATGAGGCCCAGACAGAGCCCGTCCTGCAGTATTACCAGTGAGTTCTCACTTTTCTCACCGTCTCTCATACAGCCAGTTTTCAGTTTCCATACTTCACAGCTACCAGGAGCCCCGCTTCCAGCTGGCTTAAGCAACAGAGATTTTAGGCGTCTGTACCAGAAAGAAGGCAGAGCTTCGGTCTCCTAGCTTTCCTCAGGTTTGCCGTTCTTAGTCTCGTCCGCTTCTGGGTCCTGGTTTCGTCCTTCCTGCATGGTTGCTGGTATTTGCCAGAAAGGCCACCCCTTCCTCTTTCCTGAAGGGCTGAGTAAACGTTTTATTCAGTGAACAAAAGCTCTGAGCATCACTCAGATGAAACTGAACAGCCACTGGTCAGGAAACCTCATACTTACTGTTGTAAGCCTGGGTTACTGCCAGCTCCAGACTCAACCGTGGGGCTAGGGAGGGTCGATACAGGCTAGTCCACATCCAAGGTTTGGGGGCTCATTTCTACCCCCATTCTGCCATGTGGTGGAGGGCTGGAACCAGTGCTGGGCCAGTAAGCCCAGTAGCCCACCTGGCATGCCAAGAGAGGTCGCTTAAGCATAGTATTTCAAATGACAGCCAACCCTCGGAATCATTCTGTGGTCACCAGTCTTTGGAAGCTCCTACTCACACATGTTTTTTTATCTGTTCTTCAAGGACGTCTGTACCATACAAGGAATATAAGAACTACCTTGAGCTGTACCCAACTCAGGCCAAGAAGCAGTGTGGTGTCCTTACCCAGCCCTTCTTCCAGGAATGAGGGCTGCTTTGCCTTCATTGTGTCCTGCAGTGATTCAGGGCCAAAGCAGTACATGTTGTTGCAATAAGAGCATAGACTCCAGAGTCAGGAAGCCCAAGTTCAAAGCCCAGCTTGCTATTTAATTAACATGGCCTTCGCCTCTTGCATAAGCGCTTAAGCTCTGTCTGGTTTCTCTTTCATAAAATGTGGGTAAGGCTTGAAAGTGAGTTAATATGGCGATTCACTTTTTACAGTAGCCATTACTTTAAGATTGTGATTTTATACTAAGCCTGGCTCTATAACCCTGGGCAAGGCATTTCTCTTCTGATTCCTTATTTACAGCCAGCCAGTATTAAATACCCACTTTTAGAACTATTAGGGGACGGGAGTGAGAGGGCCTCTGTAAAGGCTTAGAGCAGTCCCCAGCTACTGAATCAGCCACTGTTGGGGACCCTGCTGGCACTGTGCCAGGCCCTTGTCTAAGCAGACAATTAGACTCAGTTCCTACAGGCCTCCAAGACAGTCACCTTGTATGGATAAAGAGGAAAACTGTAAACAAGCTGCATCGGGCAGTGAGATCCAACTTGTGCTTATCATCAGAAACCATTCACACTGGCTTAAGCAAACCGGGGTGGGGGTGGGGGTGGGGGGGTTAGTCCTATAACCAAGAAGTCCAAATACAGATGGCTGGTCCAGGGGCTTAAGGAGTGTGGTCCAAACCCAGCCCTTTCAGCTCCATTCCCTGTGTTGGCTTCAGGCCCAGGCGGCTGCAGTGTCTTCTGACTTTAGCTCAACTTCTGCCAGCTCCACTAACTCAGCAGAAAAGAGACACCTTTCCCCCCAGCAAAAGTCGTGGGATCGATGGCCACTAGCTCCAGCCACCTACTGTTGAAGAGAGGGTGTGAGAACAGTCTCACGTACACCTCATGTACTGAGTGTGGTCCGCCTGGCTGTCCATAGGACTCACAACAGAGAACGCCTTGTGCCTGGGCAGATAATAATACTCCTAAGAGGCTGTGAGTAGAGGAAATGCCTACAAGGATTAGTTCTGACACAAGATGGGAGGTTGAGGAAAGCTACAGAAATGAGTGACTTGGGGCTCTTTTTTCTGGGCTTCTGGCTCCTGCTGCTTCTTGCCATATATACAATGCACAGACTTACAGGCTTACCTAAAAATGGAAATAGCCTTAAAAAAGAAACTTCATAATAGTCAGTACTGTTATTTGAACAAGCTTATAGTCTCCTTATTCTTCCCAGCTGGGAACGCTCGTCTGTCTAGAATGCGATGTTCTTACTCTTTGGAAGACTCATTTTTGCAGCTGGTTCCATTTCATTACAGAGAAATTACAATGCATATGTGAGGAGGGACCAGGTGCCCGTTCCCTACAGAGTTCTGCCTCGGTAGGACATCACTCCTGGCATCCTAGCTGATACTAAAGCGTCATCTCCAAGAAGCTTTCCCGTTCAAAGCTTGCTCTCCTGAAAGCTCCACCTGCCTGTGAATTTAGATGCTAAAAGGCTTCTTTTTTTTTTTTTTTTTTTTTGGTTTTTCGAGACAGGGTTTCTCTGTGTAGCTTTATGCCTTTTCCTGGAATTCACTTGGTAGCCCAGGCTGGCCTCGAACTCACAGAGATCCGCCTGGCTCTGCCTCCCGAGTGCTGGGATTAAAGGCATGCGCCACCACCGCCCAGCTTAAGGCTTCTTCTATGTAAATACTCCCTTTGCATAATTTTTCTCTGTAGCAGCTAATTTCACACAGAAAACAGCTGCTGTTATTTTATTTAACCACGGCAAATGTTAGGAGCTGTCAATAAAGGGATCCTTTTGTCCCAGCAAAAGCCTTTTGAGAACGGCTGCAGAGCTATGGAAAGTAATAAATCAAGTTGGGTGACCTGCGAACCAGTGTGCACACCCAAGAAAGGTGTGTGGGTCAGGGGAGTTCAGAACCTTAAAGTAGTCTGTGTGGTTTGAGAAGCAAACCCCAGGATTCTGAGCCCCACACTTCATCCTTCCTCCTACTGAACACTGGAGTAAAATAACTAACTCCTTTGATGGCCGGTCTGTCTCAGGACAAGCCAAGCAACCTGCAGGGATAAACAGAGAACTCTGACAAGAGAAAATTCAGGAAAGTAGAATAGCGGGGAAAGGAACTTGCTGGAAACTTTCAGAGACTTCAGTGGAAGACAAAGTCAGGCAGGGATGATATCCTGGTGACTGATGGGCCCTGTTTCTAAGCCGCCAGCCCGGGGATTGAGGCTGAGTCCCTTCCCAGAAGGCAAATGTACCTGTAAGTAGGAGCACCTGGGCTTTTGACAAGATATGAAGCGTTAGTATAGGCTTGGCCGGCAGCACAGGCTCAGTTTGACAGCTGACATCCTTTTAAAGATCCCTTTCCTGTGCCAGAGACAAAGCACAAACTAGAATCTAGATTTTCCTGTGTCTAGCCAAGTTCCTTCCCCCAGATCAGAGACCTAAACTCACAGAACTTCTAAACTCACATGAACTTTACAAATCCCTTTGAAAAAGCACATTAGGCACACCCAGACCTGTGTAATCTATCTATTTACCTATCTACCTATTTATTTTGTTTTTCATCTGTAGGAAAAAAGGGGTGTTGGAAACATTCTCTGGAACGGAAACCAACAAGATCTGGCCCCATGTATACTCTTTCCTACAGACGAAGGTTCCAGAAACTACCCAGAAAGCCTCTGTCACTCCCTGAGGAGGGAGTAATTAGCAGGGCCGCCTCACCTCGTCTTTGTTTTTCGAAGCTCTTTTCCTAAGACTTCTCTGAAAATTAAGACTTCTTCCTAATGGCTTTCTTCTGGATGTTACTAAGGACGTGCCAAATGAGTCAGACACTAAGGCTGATCTGTTAAAATAACCTCGGATGTCTAATCTAGTTTTTTTCTGTGGATGTGCAATTGGAAAACATCAGAGATGTTGAAACTTAAAAAAAATCAGAGCACCATGAAAAAGAACTGGTAATCGTCTACTCCTCTGTTCAGTTAAAGTGGTGGATCACATTTTCACGTTTTCCTGGAAAAGTTCAAAAAATTACATATTACTTGAGGCAGATAAATATCTCATTAAAGGCCTTTGCATAAGCCAATGCCCTTCTAGCCCAATGGATGCGGTATTTGGGGAGACTGTCTATAGATTCTAAAAAGAAAGCAACTGGCTTTATTTACAGATGTTGCCAGATGCAAACTCACTGCTCCCGTTTCAGGGAAAGCAAGGCCACCATGCCATGTCCTCCATTTACTAGTTTTCAATCTGCTATGAGAAATGCAGCCACTGGCACTTAAGAGCACGTGACTTTGGTCTGGCTTGTTTTCTTTTCCAAACATGCATGTACTGCGGGATATGATTTCTGTTAACCAAGTTCTGGGAGGAACACTGGCAAACGACAGTGGACTAGTTCTAGGTTCTCACCCGTCACTCAGGCTGAGGACTAGGTTTTAGGGCCTACCTGTCAGTTTCTCTCCCTCACACAAATGGACAGTCTGCCTTGATGGGCAAGCGGTAGTAAAAAGAAAACCGGAGGGTAAGAGAACACCCCAGGTAGTTTGCCACTGAAGTAGATGGGGTATGCTGGGGACAGCCCCTTGATGGAAAGGCCTGCCAACTAGTCAACAGGTGTAGTAACAAAAGGAATTTGCAGGCTGGGTTAAAAAGCACTGGAACTGAGTTCCCTCAGGGACATTTATATCTCTATCAGAGTCCTTGATTTCAAGACCCTCTTGTCTCAGCCTCTCAAGTGCTGGGATCACTGTGTGCCACCAGTTGCCACCCTACTTCAAAGGGAACGACTTTTCTTGTACCATCTAAGCAGCCTCCTCTTCCACCCACAGCACTGTGGATCCAACTGGTGTGCTGGGCAAGCACCCTATCACTGTGCTCCATCTCCAGCCTTAGCCTTTTGGTTTTGTTTTTTTGTGACAGGATCTTATGTAGTTCTGGCTGTCCTGGAACAACACAGACAAGGCTGGCTTCAAACTCACAGGAGATCCATCTGCCTCTGCCTCCCAAGTGCTGGGATTAAAGGTGTGGATCACCACTCCTGGCCCCAGCCTTTAGTTGGTTGCTTCAAATGTAGTCCAACCTGGCTTCATGTTCATGATCCTGTTTCAACCTCCTTAGTGCTTAAATTACAGGTATGTACCACTAAACGAAGCCTGTGAAAGCATTTTAAAACTCCAGTCACTTCCTTAGTGGAGTAAGGACATGTCCTTAGATACTGTGGCCCAAAGTGAGAAAATATGAGAAGTGGAAGAAAAAACAACTCTACCTTCCAGGAAGATGTACTCTTTATTTTACTTGGTGCTAAATCAAAGAATCAAGCCCTTGTACAAGCCTCTGAAATTTTGGCCTATTTTATTTCAGACACTTGGGGTACAAATGCCAGCAAGTGGTTCTTATATATCTGGGAGTGGGGGAGCAATCTAAATTTCACCATTGATCTTTATGGACTAGGCCTTCAATTAGGATTCCAATGAACATCTTGTCCTTTGTCGATGTTTCTTAACGCCTTATCTGAATGTTGATAACTGCTTTCTAACAATGTTGTGAACTACCTACACTTAGGACTGATCGGTGGGTTCTGTTACATGTGGTGATGTCAGCACTGTGGCTGTCGTCCCGTCACAGGCCCCCAACCCCTTCCTGTTTTCTGCCGTGGCTTCTCACTGGCTTCTTTCTAATAAATGGTCTTCAAACAGTACCTTTCTAATAAACAGGTCTTCCCACAAAGCATCTTATGACATTCTTTCTCTCCTGCTGTACTGATGTATTCACACTGACTTTCATGACACTGGAGATGTGGAGGAGGTTAGAGGATTGGAGAACATGAAGTGACATTTTTTTCCTGTGACCAGAACAACCAAGATATTGTATATACATCCACTTGGGAATGGTGTATGGCTTTTCTATTAAAACAGACAAAAGGGACCTGTTTTCTGTTGGATAGGTTGATGTCAGACACTGATAAAGGATATCACTGCTGGGGCTGGACAGATGGCTCAGCAGTTAGGTGCACTGGCTGCTCTACAAGAGGACCTGGGTTTGACTCCCAGCACCCACATGGCAACTTATAACCATCTGTAACTCTAGTTCTAGGGAATCCAATGCCCTCTTCTGGCCTCCACGGGCACCATGCACACACACATTGCACAGACATACACAGGCAAATACCCATACATATAAAAATTTTTTTAAAAAGTACCATTACTGAATATATCCTGCTGAAAAGCAAATGTGTCATGACCAGTGCAAGAGCTTTTATTTTTGTGTCACATGGAATATTCATGGAGTTGAATGCCCTGGACGGGAGCATGTCTTCGACAAAATCCCTGCATTAATAGCTTGCAACTAAAGATTTTCATTCTGGAAGTTAGGATTCATTTTTTTTTTTTAAATAATTAAAATAGTCTAGCTGGGCTCAAAAAGCACTGGTAAAAGCCAGTAAGGTTTCTGAATCTGTAGCATTCCCCTGCAATTTTTTAAAAAAGGTTCCATTTTTAGTGTGCATGTGCACATGTATGTAGGTGCCTGCAGAGGCTACAAGAGGGCATCAGGTCTCCTGGCACTGGAGTTACAGGAGCTCGTGAACACCAGACATGGGTGTTGGAAGTAAACTCTGGCCCTCCGCAAAAGCATTAAGTGCTCTTAACCAGCGACTCCTCTCTCTAGCCACCCCACCCCCTTTGAAAGATCTCTAAAAACCCCGAGTTTTTCCACACACAGCACACAAGGAGTGTCTGGTCAAGTGTAGATTGGCCCAGCAGCTTCATATTTCCCCAAGTGTCTGAAGGTAACATGAGCAACCAAATGAAAGCTAGAGGGATTTTAAAGTCATTTTCTACCTTTAGAAAAGGTCTAGTTCTTCAAGGAAGGCCTCTGAAAACATTTTCACCTGTTAGTGATGGTAAGCAATCCATAGCCAACACTTATTCATCTTTATACTTTCCCCATTAACTGACACTGAGCAAACGAATACCAGCTGAATCAGCTTCTTGGACAGGCTATGAAACAGGACAAACATTCCCCCACAGGTGGGAACTGAAGGCTGCAGGCTCTAAGGGTCTTCTTGCTAAAATATGAACGGTGGTATGCTGAAAATGGAAATGGGAAACCCAACCCCAATCCAGACAAGTACCACCTTTGTACCACATCAGTTTAAGAACTGAAATGTGACTAACTCTGAGAATAGTAAACTGACTTTTTTCTCTGAAAATACCCCAGGATTAACTTGAGAATCACTTTGCCTACATTTCTACACTGTAATGAAAACCACTTAGTAACAGAGATGTGTGTGCTCTTTGGGGAAGCATGTTAATTCATTTAAAAATTGAAAACAATTTTTAATTAAAAATAAAAACATTTAAACTATGTGTGTGTGTTCTCTTGTGCATGTATGAGGGTCTGCTGAACCTTAAAGTTAGTTTAGTTCTCTTTCCGCCATTTAGGTCCCAGATACTGGATGCAGGTTGTCGGGATTGGCAGCAAACACCTTTATTCAAGTGAGCCATATCAACAGCCCTTATTCACTTTAAAAATAATATGAATGCTTGTCTGAATAAAACCTAATATTTCTGAAGAGAAATTATAGGATATTATAAGCTCCTGGTGCAGAAATGATGGAAGAACCACAGTCGGTATCATTCAGAGACTCGCAGAGCAGGAATTCTAAGCAGTACTTTCTTCATTACCATCAATGGAAAGACAGTTCACAGGGTAAATGGAGTTACAACTTTGTTTCTCTCCTTCTAAGACAGTCTCATGGAGCCACAAGGCTGCCTTGATCTTGCTATGCAGCTGAGGAAAAGCATGAGCCCTCCTGTCTCCACCTCCCCAGGATGTGGGCCACAGGTATGTGCCACCGTGCCTAGTTTATGTGGTACCTGGGATATAGTCAGTGCTTTGTGCATCCTAAGCAAGACCTCTACCAACTGAGCTGAATCTTAAGTCCCCAGCGAGTTCATTAAAAAAAGAAAATATTTTATTAAACAACACATGAGATTTACCAAGTAAAACAGCAGTCTTTGTTGAATATTTTGATGTCAAATATTTTCACTAGTTTGAACTTCTCATAGACTAGGGACAAATTTTCTAACCAGAAATATGAGTTATCTATTTGCTAAGTATTACTATTCTTCACTACTTCTTAAGAAAACAAGAGAGGAAATTTATTTTGGCAGGGGACAGCCAGCCCTCAATACTAAGGACATTTTCAAAATAAAGGAAATAAAAGGACTCTAATATACTGTGTCATTTTGTTTTGATTGAGACAGGGCTTCTATACGTAGCTGTCCTGGAACTGTCTCTGTAGACCAGACTGGCCTCAAACTCAGAGATCACCTCCCTTTGCCTCCCAAGTGCTGGGATTAAAGGAGTGTGCTATCACACCTAGCCCAATATACTGTCTTAATACTAAAGTCCTGGCAATGAGTAAGTTACCATCCTTAAGTGCAAATTATGACATCCATTAGTGGCTCCCCGAAACAAATCAATCACACTTTTACACACTGAAACACAGAACACTTCCTTTGGGAAAAGATTCTAGTCAAATGTCAAAGAACAGGTTTTTTTCTTAATTTTTGTCTCAGGAAACGAAACCAAAATAAACTTTAATTATATACTCACTTTGTTACTGCTTTTTTTGTCACCAGTTTTTGGCCCTTAAGACTTTAAATTATAGAAGGCAAAATGAAAGTCACAACCACTTGGCTGAGCACAGAAAAGCAGACAGGCTGTGGGCAGAATGAACTGGAGTGGGAACTGGTCAGTCCAGTCCACTTCTGTGAGGGAGTGCGGGATCATTCTCTTCTAGTCTGTCCATCTGACAGGAAGAGGAAAACCAAGAGCATGCTCCAGACAAGAAGAAAAGAGAGGAAAAAAATACAACAAAACCAAAAAAACCTTCCATGACTAGGCCACTGATTAAAAAGAACTACAAGCCAGTGAGCACTACCTTATAAATTAGTCAAACATTTTATTATAGAGTATATATATATCAAAAGCACAAAAAGACTTTTATTCTGGGAACCAGGAAGATTGTGACATTACAGGAGTATGATTCAATGATTCCAGTCCATTTCCACAAGTACTGGGTACCCATCACCTACTTCAGCCCCCTTGGCTGACAGAAGACAGATGAAGCCGAGGTCACAGCTCTGACCCATGCAGGCCGCTGAACATGATTTTCTTACTCAAACTGAGACCTATAGTCCCAACCCCAGGTACCCACTTTCCAAATATTTGCTACGAATTGAAGTGGGTACTGAGCCAAAGATTACACTCAAAAATAATCAAAGCTAATGCTCCTGTAAGTCCGAAGATTAATCCTCAAATAATAAGGATATCATAATTGGCACTGTCATCTAATTCTAAATAAAAAGAATCATCAAATATCCTGGTGGATCTGCAGTGACTTACATAGGAAGAAGTAAAGCTCAGAAGCATCTTGTAACTACTGAGCTAGAAGCTAGTAACAGATGGAGTGAAACCCATCCTCACCACTGAGGGTGACTGTTATCAAGTTCTTAGACATGGTTGGCAGCTCGAGGCAGCTTAGCACTACAACATTTCTCAAGGCTTCACCAGACGGAAACACACAATAACGGTGATTTAACAATGACCTTACTCTTCCTGTTTGTTCTTACAGGCCCTTATTATTCTTTTAAAACTTACTCCCTGAGAGGTCCCAGACTATGTCAAGTAAAGAAATCAGAGTAAGCTTGCAGTTCATCTTGTTGGAAAAACAGAAAACTGTATCGCTTTTTACACATGCTACACTCCTTAATATTTAAACAGTCATCAGGATAAAGTCAACTTCTGAACAGTTTTGGACTACTTGAGGGGTAAATGTCATGTTTTTAATACCAAATTTATAGTCAAGGAGTTAACTGGTGGTGCCGAAAATACAAACGTAAATATTACCTTAAAACAATAATTTGTGCCATCCAGTTTACTTAGTAGTAAAGTAGGTTACCACTACTAATTTATTGCTTTTAATGTGATGAACACCAGATGTGACAGCTGAACTTTGCGGTGGGACATAAGCACATTTGTATCTTTAATTCTTTCCATGAAGTAGGACATGTATACATCCACGGTAAAAAGACCATGTAGCAGATGCCTCCTCAGTCGGCCAGCCTTGTAAACATTGCATTGTGCAGATTTTCATACTTTGATTCAAAATTAAGAACAGTTAAAGGCAAATTTAGTAACTGAGGGGTGGGGGAGAGTCCAGTTTGACTTCCTGCAACACATGGTACCACTCCTCCCTTCAGAAACAAAACGAAACAACAAAAAACCCTAGCAGCACATAAAAAAAAGTTGCAAAACATTTCAGTACTCTTTGCCCTCCCATCAAAAACCGAACAAAAATAAAGTGCAGCACCCATAAAAGTGTCAAGAAAATAGCCAAGCTCTTCCTTTCTTGTAACAAAATAGTCCTTGGCCTCAGCAGTCTTAAGTGAGTTATACAGTGTCCATCATTTTCTCTTCATCTTCTTTATGCAGCACTGAGTTGGCACTGCAGAGAGGTGTACTGATAGAATACTGAAGATAATCTGGATTCTGGGGAGAGAGGGACAGGGACAACACTTGAGAAGCAGCCTCATTCACACCAGGACACTCAACTGCGCACCTGGCTTCACGCTCTCGGTTCCTCTGAAGCACAACAAAATAGGAAAGAAAATGGACTTTTGGAGTCTACTCGGGATGAAACACAAAGAACTAAGGGTAGGATGATATTACTGAATCCAAAGAGATGTGATAAAGAGTGGATATATGGCAACAGAAATGTAACAAGTACCACACTTTTTTGACCCTTTCAACAAAACTAATTTTAATTCTTTAACCATACAAAGCTAAATTTCCCCGTGAGCATTATATTTTAATTAATATGACTTTTGGGGGGCTGGAGAGATGACTCAGCAGTTAAGAGCACTTGTTGCTCTTCCAAAGGACCAGGGGATCTTACAGCCTGTCTGGCCTCTATGGGTACTGCATGCACATGGTGCACGGACATGTATTTAGTCAAAACACCTATACACATAAAATAATAAAATTTTAAAATCTGTTAAAATACAGTTTTTAGTCAGCAATGTATCCTTAAGATAACTAATTACAATAGTTAAGTACTATAAATGTAAAACATTTTGATAAAGGCAAAATCCATGTACTGAGTAAAGTAAACAAAGAAAAAAAATCTTTACTTTTCCTGAGAGGTACTTTTGCCTACATTTAAAAAAATATATGAGTTCAGAATAGTGTTCAATTAATGCAAAACTAAATGCATGATTTTTAAATGTTCCACGGGTATGAGTGTAAGGTCTTAAAACCTAAGACTTTACTTGGCCATTTCCTCCTTTTGAAATAATTTTTTTTCTCCTCAGTTATTCTGAATATTTTCCAGTGACTTGGACTTTTTATTACCTTTACTACCTAATTTCATTTACTTTTTAATAAACATTAATGAGCAAAGTTATCCAAATGAGATAGGTTTCTTTAGTAAAAGCCAAAAGCTAGGTAGGAATTTGATTTCCAAGAGAATATTTTTTGTTTTAATGCTTCTATTTAGTATTATTAATACTCAGGGAGAAAAAAAATCTGTCACAACTTAATACCATTAGAAGCCAATCCAGAGACTGAACATGAAGCAGCTGCTCCAAGAAGCCACTGCTGAGTCCTGTCAAGGCTAAGGATGGCAGTATATGATGTGTTTCAGAGGACTGATTTTCACTATAAAAAACTAAAATCAAGAGTGCTCCTGAATTCCGAGCTTTATAAAAGTCAATATTCTTGTTATATTACCCTGTTTCCACAAAGTAGTGCTAAGTCTTTTCTGATATCCATTTCAGATTCCAGAGCCCTTCAAGACCAAACTTACAGTAACTCTAGCATGATACTCAGAACTAAAAGCAATCAATATCCCTACCCTAAGTGACACTGAAATTCCACTGGTTGCCCTATCTGTCTGTCTGTCTGTCAGTATTCTCAGCACTTCACTTGTCTCAGTATACAGTTTTCCCCCAAAGCATGACCACTTGTAGTGTATGACTCCCAAGACTGGGGAAGGACATTTGAAATCAGAATATCAGCCCCATTACTTACTGTGTTGGCTTTGGGCAAAGTAATTTAACCTTTGAAAATTTCAATTTACTTATGCGCAAAAATGAATTTAGCCGGGCGGTGGTGGCGCACGCCTTGAGGCAGAGGCAGGTGGATCTCTGTGAGTTCGAGGCCAGCCTGGGCTACAGAGTGAGTTCCAGGAAAGGCGCAAAAGCTACACACAGAAAAACCTGTCTCAAAAAATCAAAAAAAAAAAAAAAAAAAGAATTTAAATAATCACAGCATATTTAAGAAGATTAAATGATACATGTCAACATATTGTACAACCCATGAAGTGTAGCTGAAGTTTATAAAATAATCACTCAGAGGCTTAATATTAATTGCAAATTCTATGGCCTATTAGCTCAGGCTTCTTGCTAGCTGTTACAACTTAACCCATAACTATGAATCTATGCATCACCATGCATTCCATGGCTTTATCTGCATCCCATTACATGGTGCTCCTTGGATGGCAATTTGGCATCTCCCCTTACTCTTTTTCCTTTCACTATCTCTCTTGGATTTTCCCGCCTGGCTCCATCCTGCCCTGCCACAGGCCAATGCAGCTTTATTTGTTAGCCAATGGGAGTAATACATATTCATAGCATACAGAAAGACATCCCACAGCACTGTGATCAAATGATACATGTCAACATTGTACAACCTATGAAGTGATATAAAAATGGTATACCATTATTATAATAAGATTGTTTTCAGACTTCAAAACTGTCATCTTGATCCCTTGGATGGCCTCCTACTGTTTCCTTCATCTAGTCAATAATCTTATCTTGAACAGCATCACTCCTCACCCTGAGGCGGTCTCGGTCAGAATACCTAAATTCTCACCCTGTAAGGAGCAACTAGTCTATTAACCCAGAGTAATTAAGTATGAAGATTCCTGCTAATAGTAATAATTCAAGTGACAAAATTACATGATTCCAGCCTTCTTCTCTACCACAAGTGACAACGGAGGCCTAGCCACATTTGTCAGCTGTTAACTGGTATGTATAAGACTGACTGACTTCTCTCAAACCAGAAGCATCTTGATAATACAGGTTGCTTATATTTTAATATGTGTGAAGAACCACTGACATCTTAGTCTCTTATTCCTCTGTAGGCATGAGGTGACTAATTTTAGGTTTATCTACTGCCTTTGACATCATCATAAAACTCCCTTGGAAAAAATTGCTTTCTCATGTGCTACTTCTCAATACAGTATTTAAGTAACATTAAAGAAGTGATATGGGGGCTAGAGAGATGGCTCAGCAGTTTAGAGCACATGTTCCCTTGCAGAGGACCAGGGTTCACTTCCCAGTACCCACATGGTGGCTTACAACCATCTGTAACCAACAGTTCCAGGGGATCCAAAGCCCTCTTCTGATCTCCCTCTGTGGGCACCAGGCACACATGTAGTGCACATATATACATGTAGGCAAAATATTTTCATACATATAAAATAAATCTTAAAAAATTAAAAATAAAGAAGTGATCTGTAGGCATTCTTCAGGGGGCTATTCCTGACATGTCCAATTAAAGGAGAACACTAGTAATTATTTAAAGTCAGAATGTGATTATTTACACCCTTGAAAATGTTTTTGGTTGAGTTAAATATGACCAGTTGCTTTCCTTACTATTTTAGATACTACATTAGGTTAAAGTGCTGTGTAAAATTTAACAGCTGTTTAAGTACACGTTGCTAAAATGGTAAAATTATAGTGACATAAGGTCAAGAAATTGAAATTTTCAATTTTTACCATTTTATGAGGCTTAAAGATAAATACAGGCCTCTCCTCATATTGTCTTCTGAATGACACTTTCCATCTCCCAATGTAGACAACAGAATAAACTGGCTAAAGCTGGTCTTAAAATCTTGGAGCCTGGAAATGAGAGATAATTGGGCTCTATTAAGTGGCTACTTCTAAAATCACAATGGGCAGGGACTGTCTGACAGTATCTTAAAGCTCTAGGAAGTAGTATCAGCTATACTAGTGTCTGCTCCCCTCTTTTCACTGATATTTGTGTATGTGTGTATTAATAGCATAGTTTTTCTCTTGATCTAACAACAGATTCTGAGGAAGTTCAAACAGTTGCTAACAGTACGTACACTCTCACTAGATATATAACATTAATAAAGTACTAATTACATAAAGCCATGCAACAGATCACTTCAGCTATCACTCACATGTCTGCTCGCAAGCTAATTTCATCCTTTAAAAAATTGCCAACAACATATTTTACTCAGAAGGAGATGTCTGTGGGGAGTCACCCTGAGTTTATGACTGAGATTAACACTTGACATTAAAAATGTTTCGATATAGCTCATCTTTTTCCACATTAAGATGAGACAGAATTTGGTGTCTCTAAGAGATAGAAGAGACTCAATGCCAAGGCATGGAATGAAATAAGACTAAGGGTTATTATTATTATTATTATTATTATTTCTTTTGGAGACAGGGTCTCTCAACATACCCCTCGGTGGCCTGGAGCTCACTATGGCAATCAGGCCTCAAGCTCACAGAGATGATCCATCTGCCTCTGCTTTCCGAGCACTTGGATTAAAGGCACGAGCCACCACATCAACACTAAGGATTATTTTTTGAGTCAAGAAAATTTTAAGTGGTCATACATACATTATGCACAAGTGGTCCTAAAGAACAAAATTATGTGAGTTCATTTATGAAATGAGTATTCCCTTTTCCAGCTTACCTGTGATAAGGATTCTAAGGAGCCTATGCATCCAACACCAGAATGGGGAACATGATTCTGAACTGTTACAGGTTGAAAGCTTTGTGATTGAGCATAAAGTCTTACTCTTGACTTGAAAGCTTCAAGTTCATTTTTGAATGCCTCAAAATAACCTTCTTCCTCTGCCTAGAACATAAAAACAAACAAACAAAAACAATGTTTCTGGGCCGGGCAGTGGTGCATGCCTTTAATCCCAGCACTGGAGAGGCAGAGCCAGGTGGATCTCTGTGAGTTCCAGGCCAGTCTGGTCTACAGTGCAAGTTCCAGAACAGATTCCAAAGCTACACAGAGAAACCTTGTCTTGGAAAAACAACAACAAAAAAGAAAGACCGTTTCTGGACTCCTAAACCACAGAGTAAATTTCAAAAGCACCTAACAGAGCTGGAGTAGAGGCAACAAAGAACAGTGAAAATACAGAACCCAGTACAGTCTCCTCACAGATTATGAACAGTTCCTTTCACAGGAACACTTACAAAGAGTTGGTCTGCTCTATATTTCTTTCTTCTTCAACAAAATTAACTAATAGGAAACAATACTCCTTATACAAACACACAAAGTGGGAGTTTTTAAGACCAGCTATTCAGGAGGCTAAGGCAGGAGAACACTAAGTTCAAGGTCTGGTAGGCAAAAGAGTGAATTTACCAGGAACAGGGCAATTTAGTGAGACCCTTGGGTGGATGGATGTCTGTGAGTTCAAGGCCAGCCTGGTCTACAGAGCAAGTTCCAGGACAGCCAGGACTGTTACAGAGGAACCCTGTCTTGAAAAAAAAAAAAAAAAGTTATTTTTTATAACTTTTTATTTTGAGACAGGGTGGGGCACTTGGTTAGCATGTACAAGGCTCAACCCCTAGAATTGCAAAACAAACTTTATCAAGCTCTCACATTCACTCTATTCTCACTTAACTGGGGAGGGGGCACTATTACCTATCTAGTACATCTCCGACCTTTCAAGACTATCTGTAAAAGTTATACATGACAAACTCAACATTCAGCTTAATTACTGTAAGGACATCTTAAGTGTTCTAGTTAAGCCAGTGTCTGGCATCTGGAAACAAACATGCTAACTTCGGCTGAGGGACGGGGCTCTCTCTCTGGCATCCAATGATGCAGGAGTTCTCCATGAAAAGCCCCCATCCTCTGACAGAGGCCTCTTTTTAAAATGCTCCTTCTATGTGTACCTGGCAGGGTACATGCCCTGTGCTAACAGCATGCTTGCTGGCTTTAAGTTCAAGGGCGAAAGAGATCTTGTTAATGGAGGTTAGGTTGTAGAACTTGGTTGAGATTGTAGATTAGTTCTGGGTTACATAAACAATGGAAATTATGTTCTGGGAGGATAGCCTATCTTTTTGGATAATTTCCTCATTAAACTTAACACCTCATTGTAGTAATAGCTAGCTAGTACTGTGTGGACCTATGCTACTACTGTCCAATGCTTGCATCCAAAGGTAATCGCTATCCAAGGCAAACAGCATGACAGCTGACTACTGTAATCCTAACGCCGAGAGGCTGCTCAAGAGACCTGACTCTGTTTAATGACAAGACATTGTTTATTTTCTTTATGCCAGTTTCCTCCCTTACAAAACAGGAGTAAAAATCTTCATAAAGTGCAGAAGGATTTAATAAGTTAACTCATGCAAAATGCTTAAAACAGTGCCTGTCATGACAGAAGCACCCAATGAATATTACTGCCTAATTGTTAATATTAAAACTGTTAAGGTTGAAGATTTTTAATTATTTTCAGTTCTGTTTTATTAAACAAAAAAATTACATGTAGTGTGGCAATGTCCCATTACATATTAAGTATTGGTTTAAACACATTAAGGTATCAGTAAAAGGTATAATTTTTATTGCTTCTATGAGTCAAGTAAAAATTTAGTTACCATAAGCCTAGCTAAAATTCCAACCCAGTCATTTGTTTATTAAAAGTCCACTATAAACTGTAGGATAAGATTGTAGGAAATTGTAGGATTAGACTGCACTTCACAGAGTTTTTTTTTTTTTTACATTTAAAAATAGAATTTAATAATTCTACCACTCAAGCATAGCCAAAGTTAAACTTCTGGTGTATTTCCCTTTAACTTCTAATTATGTATGATGAAATGTGCAAGAAACCGTGTGTGTGTGTGTGTGTGTGTGTGTGTGTGTGTGTGTGTGTGTGTGTGTGTTATTGGATCCTCAGCTCCCACGTAACATTCCCGAATGGTGGCACACATTTGGAACCCCAGCACTGAAGTGAGGGAAGGGGGGTTGGTGACAAAAACAAGCAGATCCTGGGGACTTGCTGGCCTAGCCACAATGGCCAGCTTCAAGTTCACTGAGAGACCCTGTCTTGGAAAATGGGATGGATGTTACCCGTTGTCAACTTCTGGCCTCTATACTTTATATAAGTAAACTTGCATACACAAAATGTGTAATATTTCAAAAACAAAAACTATTCTTTAAAGCACCCTCCCCCAACAGGTGAGAGCAGTGAAATATGCTTTTCGTCTTCTCAAATCTCTCATGTTTGGCTTTAACTGACGGTAAAAGACTTCACCATTTGCTTCAGCATCAATTGCACACTCCTCAGTGAGAGTGAAAGCAGCCACCAAATATCACAGGAGCATTATGAAATCACTGTCACTGAGGGCCTCCCAACTGTCAGGGCCCCTGAACACATGCTGAAAAACTGCTCTCTATGGTGCGTTCCTCAAAACGGTCTTGCTATTCAGATGTGCACTTGCCTTGCTCAGTTCCAGCAGAAATACTTCCAAAGGGGTTGTTCTAATGTATACTTCTACTAACAGTGAATTCGATTCTTACTGCTTTGCTTCTTAGGAAACTTTTAATCATTACTGATCCAGTAAACATGAAACAGTAATTTTTCTATAAGTATATTTTCTTTAGTAGGGCCAACATTATGTGTCTATAAACCATGGATCTCCTATTTTAAACTTGTAACAAACATTTTCCTAGATTATGGACAATGTTCCTAAATATATAATAGCTGCAAACATTCTATGTACACATACTTTCTGGAAGTCATCCTTAAATGTGAGATGTTTAGGCTGCATGCTTGCTTCCTCCTCCTCCTGCCTCCTCTACTGTCCCTCAACAGGATCTTACTATTTCAGCCTGTGCTGACCTCCAACTCATAATCCTCTTGCCTCAGCCTCCTGAGTATATTTTATATTTTTTCATTAAAAATTTCGTTTCTTTCTTTCTTTTTTTTGTTTTGTTTTTTTCGAGACAGGGTTTCTCTGTGTAGTTTTGGTGCCTGTTCTGGAACTCATTCTGTAGACCAGACTGGCCTCAAACAGTAGCTAGAGTTTTCCTGCCCAGCCCAGGGTCAGGGCAAATCTCTCTCTCCTGCCAGTCCCACAGCCGCTCAGACCCGACCAAGTAAACACAGAGACTTATATTGCTTACAAACTGTATGGCCGTGGCAGGCTTCTTGCTAACTGTTCTTATAGCTTAAATTAATCCATTTCTATAAATCTATACCTTGCCATGTGGCTCGTGGCTTACCGGCATCTTCACATGCTGTTTGTCATCGTGGCGGCTGGCAGTGTCTCTGACTCAGCCTTCCACTTCCCAGCTTTATTCTCCTCCTTGTCCCACCTATACTTCCTGCCTGGCCACTGGCCAATCAGTGATTTATTTATTGACCAATCAGCAACACACTTGACATACAGACCATCCCACAGCATCGAACTCACAGAGATCCGCCTGGCTCTGCCTCCTGAGTGTCGGGATTAAAGGCATGTGCCACCACTGCCTGGCCAAATTTGGTTTCTTAAACGGTGAATTCTACATGTGGAGGATGCTATATCTGTTTTGCTCAACACTACATTTGAAATGGCTTTGTTTTCCATTAGTAAGCACTCTATATAATAAATGGGTAAATGATGAAGTACTCCAGAATAGTCACATTAATTTGCATGAGTTTCAAAAATGAGTTTTAAATATACAGACTGGTGTAGCCTCTTAACTCATTTTAACTCTCAATCAGCAAAAACTTGTAATACTACATTGTACTACAAATGCTAACTTATACTATGTAAGCACTATACTAGCTTATATGTACTAAGTACTAATACTGTACATTTCTTTTCACTAGAAAACCTACAGCATTTAGCAGCCTGTTACCCAGATAGCTTCCTGATATGTACAGAACAAAGAGAGCTCAGTTACAGTCCAACCTTCTTAATTAACAATACCAAGTAACTACTTACTTTGGCTTTCTGGAAAAACAAACGAAAACAGCCTCTTGGATCCACATTACAGTTTTTGGCCATTTCCATAATAAACTGCATTACCACAGCCTGATGTGCTATTTGTTCCATTAGAGCACCTTTCTGAAAAAGACACATACCAGAGTTACAGAAAATACTTCTGGAAAGAGACTCAATTGGTACTGAGGCAAATTTTGAATTTTTAGAGTACTTTAGATTTTACTCTTTATTAAGTAAAAGACTAGCTAGACATAAAGTGAATGTTGTCTTATTGCTGTTATGTGGACCAGAACAACTCCATGCTTTTGGCTTGGTTCACATCATGATTACTCCATGAGAAATTTCAAAGGTGACTTTCTGACTAGAGTGCAAGAGAAGACGGCAGAGCGCGTGCACTGGAAACCACCACAGTAAACCCTCGCAGTAAGCTGGCAAACACAATTCCTTCTAATGACCTTCCTGCCTTCTTTACTGTTGTTGTTGTTGTTTTTGAAGACAGGGTTTCTCTGTGGAGCCCTGGCTGTCCTGAACTCGCTTTGTAGACCTTGAAGTGGCTGGCCTTGAACTCCGAGATCTACCTGCCTCTGCCTCTGGAGTGATGGGATAAAAGGTGTCTGCCACCACTACCCAACCTCCTGCTTTCATTTAAAGTAAACAATGAAAAAAGGAAGGAAGGAAGGAAGGAAGGAAGGAAGGAAGGAAGGAAGAAGGATTCTATTAAAGTTTCCAGACACTCAAGGTTCATACAATACCTGCTCAGCTTCTAGATGAAAACACCATAAAATAAGATATTTAGCAGTTTCTTCACATACAATGTACGGATGGTCAGACAGAAATCTCTGACTATCATCCCACCGACTCAACATACCTATAAAAGAGAATTGAATCACAAATGTCAATTATTTCCTTCCTTCCTATGAGGCAAAAAGTGAATTCTAAATGTTTCTCTTTAAAGACAATTCCTAGTACCAGAGCAGTGTGTATGTGACAGGGCAAGCCAAGAGCACTATTACCTCTTAAAGCAATACCCAGCAGACTGAACGACAGCAAGTTTTATTTCAGATAGCCTGACTTCAGAAGAGTGACCAGTGGAATTCCGCTGCTTACAGGAATGCCTGAAGTCCCCAGACACTGCGACACTTGGTCTTCCTTAAGGTTAAAGGGGAGCAAATATTTCGAGATAGATCATTTACTAAGAGAGCAGAATGCTTTCCATTAGAAAGATGGTTAAGAATCTGTTCCTGAGTAGCCAAAGACTGCAGATGGCCACAGAGCTTTTTCAAGGACAGCCGGAGCAACTTTGCAAGATCTTGTCTCAAAAAAAAACAAAAAAAACAAACAAACAAACAAGGGGGCTGGGGCTGGTTCAATGATCAAAGTGTTTGCCTATTATTATGCATGAGGCCTGAGGCTCAATCTCAAGCACAAAAATTTTTAAAAAGCAAGACTTTAAAAATTATAAGTGGCAAATTTAAGGGCTTACTAAACATTCAAAATAAATTAGAATATCTCTATTTATTTTTTAAAGAGTCCAAGATATAGAGTCAAATGTAGACATCAATTCAGGAAACTTTATCAACTAGGAAACAAACAAGTCAGTATTATAATAACTAATATACTGCAATTATTTTAGTCACATTAGGCAATACTAATGCTGTCTGTTCAGTGTATACAGTAAACAATTTTTTTTTAAAAAAGTAGTTGAATATATATAAACGCTGCCATTTTGTTTCAAGATATTAACGAATTTAAGTAGTACTTAGCATGCATCTGCTTTTTTACCTAATTTAACAAAGACACTATTGCCAAGCAACATGGGACCTGGAGTGTGCTGTGCAGGGTTACATTTGAATGAACCAAGTATCACAACGTCAGAAACTTTAGTTTACACACAGAGCAAAAACAGTGCGGATATTAAGCCATTATCGAAGTTTCATAGGACTGTCTTGAGAATGTGACAATAAAGCTTAGCTCTCAACACAAAATGAATTCCTACATACTAAATTTCATATGAGAACATAAGATCAAAACCAAGGACAAATACCTTACATTGCAACATGTGGGGAACCAATTGAAAATATACTATCTTTAGAAAAAAGTTGGGGGCAATTTTAGTCTTTTTTTTTTTAGTTAAGAAAAGGGGGGGGGGGGGGCAGAGTCTTCTACATAACTCAAGAATCCCTCAATCTTTAAACTTCTCCTGCCTCTGCCTCTCAGTGATAGGATTAGAAGTGTGCACCATACTTTTCTGACAGTTGGGTCATTGAAAATTCTGAGACACAGAATGATTCTGCAAATTTATTTAAAACTATTTCCCCAGGAGTTAATGAATGCTGAAAATCTGAGCTCATGAAAGTACAATCCTTATTTCTTATACCTAAAGACATAAAATGACTCCTATGGCAGTTTCTGCCCCCTCCCCCTCTTTCTCCATACTTTGTTTTGAGAGTATCTCATGGAACCAGGATGACTTTGGCAGCATTATGACTTTATTTACAAAACCCTGTCCATTTGGACTGAATTAAAGACAGTATGAAAAGGACTGCTAACAGTTGCTACCAATCCGTTACATGCTGAAGGTTTTTTGTTTTTTGTTTTTTTGTTTTTTTTAGATTTATTTATTTATTATGTATACAGTGCTCTGCTTGCATGTATCCCTGCAGGCCAGAAGAGGGCACCAGATCTCATTACAGATGGTTGTGAGCCACCATGTGGTTGCTGGGAATTGAACTCAGGACCTCTGGAAGAGCAGCCAGTGCTCTTAACCGCTGAGCCATCTCTCCAGCCCCATGCTGAAGTTTTTATCTTTTTAATACCTAAGCCACTTGAGACTTGACAAAGATATTAGATGTTGATTAGTACGAAATTATGAAGTTACAAGTAGTCCATCTAGGTCTTAAAGAGAAAAGGTGTGGAATTTTATAAGGAAGTATTTAAAGAGAATCCAGAGTTCCAAGAACAGAACATATCTGAAATTGCTGTTATTTTGAAATTTGTAAACAGAGTAACACAATCTAGGATGGTCTGAACCTCAGCTTCACCTCGGGCAAGTGCCCTCATATACCTCGGTATCTTCCCACGTAGAGTAGGGCTAACAGTACCTGACATGAAGGATTTTTATGAATTAAAGATATTAATTCATATAAAGCTTTTACAATAGTGCCTCATCTAGTAAATACTTGACAGCATGTATTAACACAACAGTGAATAATTCACTCATATAGCAAATACTTATTAAGACAATCTTTTGGTTAAGGAGAAGCCAATCACTCAAACTAACCAATTTCTCTGAATTCTTAGACTAGCTTACTTGGACAAATTAAGTTAATTACATACATCTAAATGTCATCAGTTCTCAATGGTCTATCTGATTCTTAAGTCAGTACACACACTCTGCATTATCTTTACAGAATACACTTAACATTTTATACCATCTACCGTAACTATCTGCTACAACTCCTCTGGCTAGGCTGCAAGACCCTTGAGAAAACTGACTACTTTTCCTGCCTGAGTGCTCCTGTGTTTCTATCACCAGATAAGTGGTTTTCACCTCCATGCCTATGTACAGTCATGCTGGTAAAAACCAAATCCATCCTTCTCCCTGCCACCCTACAGTGCTTCTGAGGTTTCAGGTTACCTCATCAGGTATTCTAGAAACTCCTCTGACTTCCCATTTCTCTGGCATCAAACTGACCATGAAGTTCAGTGGCTATACTATTATATACTAAATACATTTTTAAATATTAAGCCATGCCAAAATTTTAGAATAAAACCTTAAAATATTTTTTCAGGTAATAAAAAGTATATTTGTTGTGAAGAACTTAGTTCCCAAATTAAAAAAAAATGTAATTCTATCACAGAGACAATTTAAATCCTATAATACATGTTTTCAGTTCATTTTATTTTTATTTTAATTCAGTACTTCATAGCATGTTTTTTAAAAACAGGATATTATTTTTTTTAAAGTAAAGCACAAGTGAATAGAATCGAGATATTATAAATGAAAAAAGTTTTTATACAAATGTTTATAGTTTTTGATAAATTTCCCAGTGACCACATTCTACAGAGATTCAGAAAAAGCTGAATCAAAGTTAACAATGGCTGGAAGGGAGAATGATGTGCTCTGAAAAACCACTGCACAATTCAAAGAGCAGCTCCAAGAATCACAAAGACGGTGATGTTAAAGGGTTAAACAGTTGAATAACTGTAAACGGTTGTGAATTTGAATAGGAAATAAGCTGTGTCTAAATCAGCACTTTGACTTCTAAAGCATGAATCAACCAACCAACAAAAATGTAAAAGAAAGTCAGATTCAATAATCTTTAACTCTGCAACAATGGTACCATTTAAAGTGGTAAACTTCATCTAAGCAGAAGGGTAAAAAGCAACAGGAGAAAAGTCATCCAACAGTACGAGGGAGAATTAGGAAGAACTACGAAGAACGGAAGTACAAACGAGGCAAGTACTGGTTTGAAGTGCCTGCTGTCCTACACAGACAGCTCACCTTCACCGGGCCCTCTTTAAGAGTCTACAACAGAATCCAACTTTGGAAAGTCTCCACTTGGAAGCTTTAATTACAGCTGCCATTCCAGATGTTTTTTAAGGAGTTCATCAATATACCTATCAGTCTGACAATGCTTTTTTTCTTTACTAATAGCATACACTAGCATAAGTATTTGCTTTCTCCAAAAGTGGACTGCATCAAACCTTCAAACTCTTGTCTCAGGCCTCTATCAACTGTGCTATCACTTTGTAAATGTGGATTCTGCTATCTCATCACCTCTGTAACTGTAAATTTAGTCCACTCTATGTTCATGGAACTTGGCGAGTAGAAGTAGCAGATGCCCCAGATGCCTATTTATATATAAGATACACATATGCCAGAGAGTGGAAAGTTAAACACATGAAAAGTTTGGGAGCCTACTACCTTAGGAACATTTCTGTGGATCCAATGTGCTGCAGCAAGTAGGGTATCTCCTCCAAAGTGAAAAGCCAATGTGCATTTCCACTAAGAAACAGGTACAATGTGAATCTGGGAGTGGCTATAAGTCTGGTTGGATTTGAAGACAGCAAGGGTCTGGTTAGTATTACAAGATGAGATGCTGGAAGCTCACAACATGCAATGGTAAACAACTGCTTATTAATCACCGATGGATGTCAAGCCAGCCTTTTTTCCTGGCCATCTGATTAAGCACACAACAGTTTCATAAACGAAGGAATCATGTCTTAGGTAGGCATAGGCTTAAGATTATACACGGACTCAAGAACATGGAATCTTTTCATCAAGGATGTTTCGGTAACCTAGTCCAGTAGCATCAATGAATACCAAATTTTTCAGGAGCAAAAACTCATGATAAAACCCCAATATGGTACCACATTCTATAGAATTAATTATCCAGTCATAAAGTAGCAGCTTGAGTACATTGGTCCAATTTCTTCTTGGAGGGATCAATAATCCCTCACATGAACAAGCCCTTTCTAGAGCTGGAAGTGTCCTCTCTCTTACCATGCTTCTACCAAATTACATTTTGGGGTGTACTAGATGGACTGGTCACTGCACCACATTTTTGGCTCATTTTATATCAAAACAAATGATGCACATGAACTCATGAAATTCTCTGGTCTTACCATGGACTACTCAGAAGCAGCCGGTTTTACACAGTGAGGAAAGGGTCTACTGAAGAGTGAGTCTCAGTGTCAGGTGATTACAACCTCTTGTGAAGCTGGGATGTTTTCCCCCACAGAACTGCATTTAACCGAAGCACTCAATCGACAACAAAAGAAGGTACTATTTCTTTCTCACTTACTAGGCGACATGGCTTCAAAGCAACCAGCCTACAGAATGCCAGTTGGGCAAAAGCACCACTAGTGACACCATTCTCTCAAATGCTATGTGTGTCCAGAAAGAAGCATCAGTAGATGGCACATCATGTTCCTGCAGCAGAACACATGGGTCTTGGTAGCAGGACTGAAGTAGGAAGGGCAACTGACAACACAGGACACGTTTACAAATTACTATCTTCTACCCCTGTGATTCAAGACCCTGCTGGTTTAAAGACTTTAATATCGATCCAAGAGAGGGCTGCTTATTCCTTCTGTTTCTATATATGAAATGACACAATGATACATGTAGAAACGTGAACTTGTGTGTCTAGCTCTTCAAATACTAGCCTTTTCTTGTTTTTTTTTTTTTTTTGGCTATTTGTGACAGAGTCTCATAGTCCAGGCTAGCCCTGGACTTGTGATCCCCTTGCTTCAGCCTCTTCAGTGCTGGGATTACAAGCACATGCCATCATGCCCAGATTTCTTCAGGTACTAACTATTCTTGAATTAAGTACAGTTTTTCGTTTTGAAGCAAAAATACTTTGAGGGGGCACAAATGGAAAAAGGTTTCAACATGCCATTGATGAATAAAACACAACAAAAACCATGTCTGTTAATTCACACAATACTTGAATAAAAAAAAAATATGGTCTGAAACTCAATTCCTCACACTTCCAAGCAGCATTTTCAATCTAGCAGTATCACACTGCTTGTAAGTTTCAGAACATATCATGCATGTATTTTCTGATTCTGCAATTTCTTTTTTTTTTTTTAAGATTTATTTATTATGTATACAGTGTTCTCTCTGCATGTATGCCTGGGGGTCAGAAGAGGGCGCCAGATCTCATTACAGATGGCTGTGAGCCACCATGTGGTTGCTGGGAATTGAACTCAGGACCTCTGGAAGAGCAACCAGTGTTCTTAACCTTTGAGCCATCTCTCCAGCCCTGTTTCTGCAATTTCTAATGCTGTTGCCTAATCTCCACGGAAAATCCTTATCTTCCCTTCCTAAACAAACTCAAACATTGCCTCCTCCCCTAGGAATCCTTCATTTACTTCAACTCCCCTGCAACCCCCCACCTTCCCACAATAGAAAAAGCCAGTTTGGGACTGGAGAGATGTTCAGTCATTAGGAGTGCTTCCTGTCCCAGCACCCATGTTGGGTGGCTCACAACCACCCCTAACTCCTGCTCCAGGGGATCTGACACCCTCTTGTGCTCTTCATGGGCCCCCTAGACATATGATATATACTTACAGAGATATAAACACATAAAGATTAAAACATCTTAAAAAATGGCATTTGTGTGTGTGTGTGTGTGTGTGTGTGTGTGTGTGTGTGTGTTCCGATCCCATAGTTAGGTGGTTCACAACCAACCATAACTTCTGCTCCAGGGGATCTGACGCCCTCTTGTGGTCTCCATGGGTCCCCTACACATGTGGAATATACTTACATAGACACAAACACATACACATAGATTAAAAAATAAATCTTAAAAAATGTCAAAAGTTGTATCTTAGATCTGTGTGTGTGTGTGTATTATCTGAGCAACATGTCAAGGAACTATGAATTACACATCATCTATCTAAACCCGAGAAAAGGAAAAAAATGAGTGTTGGAGCTGGCAGGATGACTCAGTGGGTAAAGGTACTTGCACCAAACCTGATGACCGAAGTTCAATCCCTGGAACCCACATAGTGGAAAAGGAGAAAACTGATTCATCAAGTGGTACTCTGCCCTCTACACATGTGCTGTGGCATGCACCTGACCCCTCCCCACTGCCCATGAAAAGAAAATACATAAAATTTTTAATGAATGCTTATCTTTTAATGCTAAGAAAAAATAGCAAAGAAACAACAAAAAAACAAAACATACAATCAGTCAAGAAATGCAAATCGGTGATACCATCACAGAAAGCAGCATTAGCAGACTGAACTGTGCTCTTTACAACCTACTTTTAGATATAAGCAAGGTCTGAAGCACATCTGTCAACCCTGCCACAAGCAACAACACACGTGGAGCTGGTCACATGGTTTTTGGACCTCATTTTAGAGAGTCAATTTTATACACATACAGATGATAACACAATAAAGAAGAACACTTAAGTAGTAGACTCACCAAAATGTCGGATTTTTTGCTCATATTTCTGCATAAATGATTGTGATTTATCTTCATCTTCTGTTTTTCTTTTATCTTGATTAATAAAACTCTGAAAAAAATTAAGTAATTAAAATCAATATTTTAATTCAATTTCTTCAGATGCTGAGTGCTTAGCGATCTTTTCTATAGACATGATGTAATAAAAATATTGCATAATACTATGCATCATTAAACTAATCTGTTAAAACTTGTCATTAAAAAGTTAAACATTCTCAGCCGGGCGGTGGTGGCGCACGCCTTTAATCCCAGCACTCGGGAGGCAGAGGCAGGCGGATCTCTGTGAGTTCGAGGCCAGCCTGGACTACCAAGTGAGTCCCAGGAAAGGCGCAAAGCTACACAGAGAAACCCTGTCTCGAAAAACCAAAAAAAAAAAAAAAAAATTAAACGTTCTCATTTGGTAGTTTCATTAATTTTGTTTTAAATTATAAATTTATCTAGGGATCACATAGGAAAAATAGTTGAATGACTGCTCATTAACCATATTACCCTATCAAAGACAGGAATGAAAAGATTCTTTACATGTGTTATTCATTTCCAATAAACACTTGCAACTCTAGCCTAATCTTTGAAGCAAACTGAGCAAACCAAAGTATAGAGAGTCAAAGATATTTACTATAAATTCTTTGAGAAGAGATAAAACAAAAATATAAACCTCGACTGCATGTCTAAAAACTTTCTCTTGGGAGGCTAAATAGTTTAATTCTTAAAACTAAGAACAAACTTCTACTAAGGAAGTATTTACATTTGTTAAGTAAGTCATGAAACAGACCAACAAGTTTCTCATCTTACCAGCAAAACTAGCACAACTGTTTCCCAGAGTACTCTGTGATACACTTTACACCGGATATTATCACTGCCAAATTGAAAAGCACAAACCAGCTCCCTGCCAGCTCGTATTTCAAAATAAAAGCACCTTGTACTTTTTTTAAAATCTAGACCAATACTGTCCTAGTCACAAATACACCTTAAAATTTTCTACTAGCCCCATTAAAAAGCAGAAATACACAAATGATGTTCCTAACCTAATATATTCAACATATCATTTCAATGTGAAAGAAACATCAAAAAATTATTAACAAGGTATTTCACTTCTGGTGTTTTGGTATTGAGTAATGGAATCTGGTGTATACTTTTACACTTATAGAACATCCCAAATTGGATTAACCACATTTTAAGTGCTCAGTAGCTCATGTGGTACTTATTAACATGGCCCCTGAGCAAGGATAACATTCAAAATTATGAAGCATTCTATATATGAATATATTAACTATATATTTATTCTATATAAAAATATTATACATACACACACGTATACTTATATGTTTTAGATTTGCTTCATGTGATTGAGTATTTTGCCTGTCTGCATGTGTGTGTTCCATATGCATGCCATATGGTCAGAGAGTGTTGGATCCCCTAGAACTGAAGTTACAGATGGTTGTAAGCTGCCATGCGGGTGCTGGGAACTGAACACGGGTCCTCTGCAAGAGAAACGTGCTCTTAACTGATGAGTCATCTTGCTAGCCCTGTTCTATATTTTAAGTTTTAAATTGCATATCTTAATAGAGTATGGATGATACAAGTATACCTACTTGGTAAAATTTTACCTATATTACATGCATACCAAAGCAAGATGTGAGCAATTGATGTGGAACATGGGGCTCCTCGTTACTTCCTGTCCAGAGAAATTTTCCATATTGAAATTTAAGCTTTAAGCCCAGTGGGGTTAAGAATGCTTGCTGCTTAGCCATGCATGGTGGTTCACGTCTTTAGTCCTAGCACTTGGGAGGCAGAGGCAGGTGGATCTCTGTGAGTATGAGGCCAGCAGAGTGAGTTCCAGAATACAGCTGTTACATAGAGAAACCCTGTCTCAAAAAAAAAAAAGCATGCTTGCTGCTCTTCCAGAGTTTGGTTCTATGCACCACATCAAAGATCTCACAAATGCCTTTAGTTCCAGCTCCACAGAACCCAGTATCCTATTCCAGCCTCCTCCAGAACCTGGGCACGTGTGGCTTACAATCACACAAACATACATGCATATGCACAAATTAAAAAAAAAAAAACTTTTAAACTTTAAAAAGATCCTAATTCCACCCCAAGTGTATGTCCATGGGTTAGTGAAGGGAAATGATGACATGTAAAGGCCTCATTGCTCTGAATTCTCTTCAGAAATATAGTACTGTTTCAGACTCAGAAAACACTAATATACAAGATCTACCACCATCATAAAAATAAAGCTTTTAGCTTCTGTGAACTGTTTTCCTTAGTCATTTTGACAAAGAGAATCAAAATATTTGTACCTATCTGTAATTCACAGACTTATGTTTCTCCAAAGTAATGCTTAATAGAAGTTACTATTCTTCAATATTTACTCAAATTTTATTCTGTATTAAATACATTGTTCATAAGTTATCGAGTTTCACCTTTTTCCCCTTTTTCATGCACTATAAAATCAATCTTTAGAAACTCTAGTTTCCAAATAGGAAACAAAATATATAAACCCAGAGTAGTTTGAGAAAAATGGGATTTTAATAGTTCTGCCAAACTAATGACGTCCTTTGTTAGTATTTGTTAGTGCTACCAATGAACATCATTATAGGGACATCATTTTCTTTCTTTCCTTTTTATTTTGAGGGGTGTGTGTGTGTGTGTGTGTGTGTGTGTGTGTGTTTCTAGGAACTGAGCCTGGGTCTTGACACACTACACAGGGGCTCTTCACTGAGCTCTAGCCTCAGTCCTTTTCACTTCTTTATTTTGAGATAAAGTCTCACTAAACTGCCCAGGCTTACCTTGAACTTGTACAATGTCTGCCTCATCCTCCCAAGTAGGCTGGATTACAAGCCTATACTATACATCAGGCCAAGTAGAAATGTTTTCATTCTTAAAGACATCTCTTTCTTTTTCCATTTTATATTTTATGTGTTTGGGTGTTTAGCCTTATACATATGTGCACCACACACATGACTGTGACCACAGGGGCCAGAAGAGGGCATGGGATTCCCTGGGACTAGAGCTGCAGATAGTTATAAGCCACCATCTGGGTGCTAGAACACAAACCTAGGTTCTCTACAAGAGTGGACAGTACTCTTAACTAATCTTTCAGTCCCACAGTTTAGCATTCCTTCCTCAGACTTAATCCAGTACTTGATTAGGTACTTAATTTTCAGCTTCTTCATTAATAAAATAAGGTGACTCAATTAAAATCCCAGAAGCTTTAGCCACTGCTTTAGAAGGTAAAGAATGAGGGCTGTGAGCAAAGTAATCTTAACTTTGACTTAGTTGCTCTCATCAGTATAAATGCCTCTATCCTTAAAAGAGGTGAACGCTTTTCTACACATTTCCTCATGTATATAAACAGTATTTTAGACAGTAAATGAAAATTGCCTACAGAGGTTAGGGGGTATCAGCTCAGTAGTACAGTGCCTTGCGTTTGACTTCCAGCAACACAAAAATAAAACCCCTAAAACAAAAAAATTGCAGATAATAATCTGTAGCTGTAAGAGCTTTCAAACTTTTAAATACAATTTAAGCAATTGTATTTAAGAAATAACACTATATACGCCCTAATATGAATTTTATAACACAGTGGTGACCTTCATTAAGTAGGATGAACTGTCATTTTTTTTTTTTTTCACTACTTGAAGAAGATAAAAATGCTGGGTGGATAACACCAAAATGTTTTCACAATTTGCTTAAACTGGCTCTGCCACATTCTTTCAACAACAAGCTCTCTGATTCTATAATTTAAATCCATTTCTTCTTCAGATTCAAAAGAGAAAGCTAAGGCTTCATTACACTAGTGAGAAACCAAATAATGTCCTGAAGAAAACTTAGAGCTGGTGAGGTGGCCAGGCAGGTCAAGGGACTGATGGCCTCACATTATGTAAAGAAAGGACCAACTCCACTAACTTATCCTCTGACTTTCACACACATCCCCTGGGTGATATACTGTGTACCCCAATAAAGCTTGCCTGAGGATCAGAGGACAGAGCCAGCCACTAAATTAGACATGGAGGTCAGGCAGTGCTGGCACATACCTGTAATCCTACCATTCAGGAGGCAGAGATCTGTCTGATCTCTGTGAGTTCAAGACCACACTGGGCTACATGAGAGAAATAACCAGGCAGTGGTGACACACGCCTTTAACCCCAGGAATGAATATGGCAGGACACAGAAAGGTATATAAGGCACGAGGAAACAGGAACTCTCCTCTTGAGGCTGAGGATTTCGTAGAGGGAAGCTAGTAGCTGGCTGTTGTGCTTCTCTGATCTTCCAGCTTTCATCCCAATATCTAGCTTTGGGTTTTTTATTATAAGACCTTTTAAGACTCATGTTACAATGCCCTAGTAAGCTTGCTCTTGTGCACACACCTGTTCTCTCCCCCCACCCCCTTATACTTACACACACACACACACACACACACACACACACACACACACACACACATATACTCACTCTTGTAATTAAAAAAATAAAAAAAACCTAAACATGAAACAAAAACTACTCACTCTGCCAGTTAATGGTCCCACCACTCACAAGCTAAGGAAGAAGAGTTGTTTGTTTTGTTGTGTTGTTTATTTTGCTTTGATTTTTGAGACAGAGTCTCTTTATGTAGACAAATCTATCTGGAAGCTATGTGAATCAGACTGGCCTCAACTTACAGGGACCCTCCTGACTCTGGCTGGGGTTTGAAGGCATGTGACATAATGCCCTGCTGATTATGTGTTTGGAGTGAGACATGGATATATGGCAAGAACCAGTCTCAAGACTGGGTGTGGGGCCATATGTCTTTTTTGGGGAGGAAGCAGAGGCAGGCAGATCTGAGTTTGAGGCCTGCCTGGGGAATAGAGCAAGTTCCAGACCAGCCAAGGCTACACAATGGGACCCTATCTAAAAAACAAAGTAAGACAAAACAAAACAAAACAGATTCTGCCTAATAAATAAATAAATAACAAAAAACTATTTAAAAGTCTGAACTAGCTAGATTATTAATTGTAAAGGGCTGTTTCAAAGTTTCAATACTAATACTTGTAAGAGAAGACTGGCATCTGCTGTGGGATGGTCTGTATGTCAAATTGCTCTGATTGGTCAATAAATAAAACACTGATTGGCCAGTGGCCAGGCAGGAAGTAGGCGGGACAAGGAGAGAGGAGAATTCTGGGAAGTGGAAGGCTGAATGGGAGAGACATTGCCAGCCGCCATGACAAGCAGCATGTGAAGATGTAAGCTACGAGCCACATGGCAAGGTATAGATTTATAAAAATGGATTAATTTAAGATATAAGAACAGTTAGCAAGAAGCCTGCTACAGCCATACAGTTTGTAAGCAATATAAGTCTCTGTGTTTACTTTGTTGGGTCTGAGCGGCTGTGGGACTGGCGGGTGGTAGAGATTTGTCCTGACTGTGGGCCAGGCAGGAAAACTCTAGCTACAGGCATCTAAAAAAAGACAAGGGTGCCTAATTCCTTCACTCTTATTTGATATGGTGTTTGATGTCTCACAGCATTAAGACAGAAGAAAAATAGAAAAGGAAGAAGTAATGTGTTCTTATTTGTAAATAATATAATCCTTTTGGCCGGAGACCCTAATGACTACACTAGAAATATCTGTAATTTGATACACTTTCAGCAAAATTGTAGGATACAAAACTAACATAAAAATCAATAGCTTACAGATTAGTAACATGCTGAGAAATAAGTCAGAAAAAAGATTGCATCACAATTGCCTTAAATAGAGACAAAACAAAAGACCTTGGATTAAGTCTACCTCTACCAACGAAGTAAAAGATACCGTCTATAGTACAAACCCTAAAATGCTGAGGCAAGAAATCAAAGGAAATGGAAAGAACAAAGGAAATGGAAAGATCTCCTATGTTTATGGAATACAAGATTTAATACTGTGAAAATGGCTATCATACCAAGAGCAATTACAGATTCAATGCAATCTCCATCAAAATCCCAATGTGTTTCTTCACAGAAAGAGAAAAAAGAATCCAAAACATTCAAATGGAAGCACAAAGACCACAGACAGCCCAAACACCACTGTGCTAAAAGAACAATGCCAGAGGTATCAATGTACTTGATTTCCATGGTACTAGAGCCACAGTAACAAAAACAGTACACTATCATGCAGCCACACCTGACAAAGGTGTCAAAAATAAATTAATATATCACAGAAAAGGCAGCCTCTTTAAGTGGTAATGGCAAAACTGGACATCCACACATGAAAGAATCTAGATCCTTATCCCTCATCCAAAAGGATCGAAGACCTGAATGTGAGACCTGTTGTGGAATATTAAGATGTGTTACAATTGTTTATGCTCTTTTGGGGGGCTCGCTGCCACCCAGCTCCCAAATAAGTCTCACATGGAAGCTTATTCTTAATTATGAATGCCTGGCCTTAGCTTGGCTTGTTTCTTGTCAGCTTTCCTTAAATTATCCCATCTACCTTTCGCTTCTGGGCTTTTCCCGTTCTCCTCTGTAAATCTTGCTCTTACTCTGTGGCTTGCTGGGCAGCTGGCTCCTGACATCCTCCTTCTCTGGCTGCTGCTTCTCTTCTCCCAGATTTCTCCTTTGATTTATCCTCTCTGCCTGTCAGCCCCGCGTATCCCTTCTCCTGCCTCACTATTGGGCATTCAGTTCTTTATTAGACCATCAGGTGTTTTAGACAGGCACAGTAAAACAGCTTCACAGAGTTAAATACAACATAAACAAAAGTAACACACCTTAAAATAACATTCTACCACAGTGGAACATTTGTTTAACGATGCAAAGATGTGTTGCATTCTTTTATGTTGCATTTGTTTAACTCTGTGAAGCTGTGTTACTTTGCTGTCTTTATAAAACACCCGGCTGGACTAATAAAGAGCTGAATGGCCAATAGCAAGGCAGGAGAAAGGATAGGTAGGACTGGCAGGCAGAGAGAATAAAAGAGGAGAAATCTGGGAGGAGGGAATCAAGGAACAAGAAAAGGAGAGGAGGACTCCAGGGGCCAGCCACCCAGCTGGGCAGAGAATAAGAAGGAAAGAAAAGATAGAATGCAGAAATAGAGAAAGGTAAAGGCCCAGAGGCAAAAGGTAGATGGGATAATTTAAGAAAAGCTGGCAAGAAACAAGCCAAGCTAAGGCTGGGCATTCATATGGAATAATAAGACTCCGAGTGTGATTTATTTGGGAGCTAGGTGGCAGGCCCCCAAAGAATAAAAAGTAAAAAACAACCAACAAGAGAGACCTGAAACTTTGATATTAGTAAAGGAAAAGATACAGAAAATACTTTAAGATAATGGCATAGGAAAGACTCTGAATAGGACTCCAGTCAGTCAAGAAATAACACCAGCAATTAACCAGAGACTTTATACAGTTTCCACGTAGAAAAACAAAGAGATAGCCTAGAAAATGAGATAAAAATCTGTGTTAGCTATACCTCAGACAAAGGTCTAATACCTGTTTTAAGATTAGAATGTTTTATTACATTTACTTGTTTATTTTGCATAATGACATGTATGTGTGTACATGCAACAGAACATGAGTGGTGGTCAGAAGACAATCTCCAAGTGTTTCTCCCTTCACCATGTGGATCCTAAGGATCAAACTCAGGTCATTAGACTTGGTGGCAAGCACGTTTACCTGAACTGTCTCACTGCCCCTAATATCTTTTACTAGTTCACAAAGAATCAAAACAAACAGTCCAATCAATAAATGGGCTAATGAAATGAACAGACAATTCTCAAAAGATAAAATACAAATGGCTAATAAATATATGAAAAAATTTCGACACCAGCAGCCATCCAAGAAATACAAATTAAAACTATATTGAGATTCCATCTCACCCCAACCAGAACAGCTGCCATTACAAAAACAAGTAACAGCTGGGCGGTGGTGGTGCACGCCTTTAATCCCAGCACTTGGGAGGCAGAGGCAGGTGGATCTCCTTGAGTTCGAGGCTGGCCTGGTCTACAGAGTGAGATCCAGGACAGGCACCAAAACTACACAGAGAAACCCTGTCTCAGGGAAAAAAAAAAACCATTAACAACAAATGCTGGTAAGGTTGCAGACAAAAGGGAACACTTACACACTAACAGGAATGTATGAGAGCCCAGCTACTAAGGAAGTTAGAATGTAGGTTTCTCAAGAAACTAAAAATAGATCTACCATAGGGCCCAGCTATATTACTACTGGATATTTACCTAAAAGAATGTCAGTCAATATATCAGAGATATTTGCACACCAAAATTCGTTGCAGCACTATTTTATTAGCCAGGACAATATCTAAGTTATGGGACTAACATGGGTGTCCAATAGCTGAATGGATAAAGTGAGAGTAAACATACACCAGTATACACAGATAAAACACACTATTTTATAGCCATAAATAAAGAATGAGGTTATGTGATTTGCAGGAAAATAAACTGTACCCGGATATAATCACATTGCTGGTTTTCTATCACGTGTAGACCCTAGATTTTCTATAAATATACACAGTCACTAAAGTACACTGTGAAACTATCTAGGGGCACACAGGCAATTAACAGGAAGGGAATGGGCGAGAAAGGGGAGCATGGAAGGGTCTAAGAGCCGACTACGTCAAAGTACGTGTATATATTGTATACTTGCATGAGAATGGCTTTACGTAACCTAGTATAATACAATTTAAATAAAAAAATATTACCTGAGTTTACTAACCCTGTGCTGGTAAACTGAATGACTTTATTTACAAATCCACTACCCATGTGTTAGGAAGCTGACAGCAGAGCACCATCAGGAAGCACTCACACGTTAGCTGCAGTACACAGGCCCATGCTAGCACGTTACCCGACTTCATCTTCCCAGCTACCCTACATGCTGAAGAAAGCAAGGCCTGGAGATGTTTGCTGGTTAAGAGGGCTCTCCGTCGCTATGCTAACAGTTATTTACAGAAGCGTCTGTTTTTCCTTCTTCATTTTTATCTGTGGTGCTGGGAATGGAACCCAGGGTCTCTTGCATGCTCTACCTCTGAGCCACATAGATCATACCTTATTAAAAACATCCTTGCTAATAGCATCCATGTTCCAGAGACTCATCCTCTCTCTCTGGACCAGAGCTTCCTCCTTCTGTCGCCATTCTTCCTCCCGCTGCCTCAGTTCTGACATTGCGGTCTGTGCTTTGGCATGTTCCTGATCCAAGGACTCAGAGTTATGCAGTGCTAAGCTGCCAAGTTTCTGCTGGGCTTCAGCAAGATTCCATTTGCACGCCACAGAACTCTTCACAAATTCTTTCTGCTTTTGGCAAGCTAGCTCAATCCCATCGCTATACATCTAAATAAAAAGTAACAACAACAGTATTAGTAAGGAATGAAGGTGGCAGCAATGCCACAGTCCATTGCTTTTCAACTCCAAGGATCTCTGTGATGTTTCTGGAGCAGAGCATATCTGTATTCTTTGTCCTCAATGACGTTTCCCATTCATCAATTAGACTCTGAGCTGCTTTGTTCCTCTGTGCCCCTCCCCTGACAACTAGCAACACAAAGCCTGGCAACTGTCAGTAACTTGCAACAGCTGGCCCACAACAAGCATCAGATGTGCAGGCTCCAGAATCCTTCGCCAGAAGGAAAGCAAAGCTTAAGTCCAGTTCCTCAGTTATTTATGTCTTCTCATCCTGAAAACCAGACCTTTAGAGCTTTAACCTGCAAGTTCTCCCTGCACTGAGCATCCTTTTATTGATTTCTACTTTACTTTTGTGTTATCACAATTTGTGGTGATGTGAGAGTTTGTAATAGAAAATTCTACTTATAAATGATTATATCATATAGGTATTATATATATTAACTTAATCCAAATCAAAAAAGTAAAGGTTAAATTAAGAAGTGCCAACTGGTCTATCCAGCCTTGGCCTCCCAAGTGGTGTTTATTTTCAACAGGGTATATACTTAGTTTTCTCTCTGACTACCAGCTTTGTAAGGAGTATCCTGACTCTGGTCTACTGAGTAGTTACTTTTAATATTTGCATAATTACTTATGTAAATGCAATCAGTATTTAATTTCTTATATTCCTTGTTTCAACAAGGAAAGCTGAGGGTTTTTTTTTTTTTTAGGATTTTGTGGTTAAAAGCACAATTTTATATTACTTACTGAGAATCACTGTTCTCAATCTGTTCCCACACCTGTTTCAGTATTCAAGCCTTTATAATTTTACATCTCAACTGTACAAATATAATCCTATTTTTTAGTCTTCATTAGCCATTTTATACTCTACTTGGGTGATCCTTCCAAAAAGGGGGGGGGGGCTCATGCTATTTATTAGAGTCCATTATTAGAAAGCACAGACTCCTGAGTTCCAGTTACTTTTACTTCCCGGCTTATTCTTCCCACCCTCAGGACCCTGTTTTCGCCGACAACCCTCTGCCCTCTACCCAACTCCTGCCCAATCCTTAAGCCTTTTCTTGTCCATTCTTTCCAAACCCAAGGTGTACACATTTCTATAGTGGGTTTTTTGTGTTGGTTTTTTTGAGACAGGGTTTCTGTGTGTACCCTGGATGTCCTGAAACTCACTCTGTAAACCAAGCTGGCCTTGAACTCACAAAGATCCGTCTGCCTTGGCCTCCCAAGTGGTGTTTATTTTCAACAGGGTATATACTTAGTTTTCTCTCTGACTACCAGCTTTGTAAGGAGTCAGAATTTAATAACTGTTAGATGAATAAACTATCTTTACTTCTTGAACAAACTGTTCTGAGGCAAGTAATAAACAAGCCTCTCCTACTTGCTGAGTTTTCGGGCACATTCAAAATTTCTACAGTATGTGTATGTGGAGTGTGGCTGTATGTGAACACTTGCTATCCTGGTACCTTATTTAGTCATTATGAAGGCTTAAAGCCCAGATACCACCTTGTCTCTAAATAACCAAAATCTATTTTTACTTTTTGATACACTAGAAAAATTATGGGGCTGGAGAGTTGGCTCAGTGTTTAAGAGCACTTGCTGCTCTTGCAGAGGACCTGAGTTCGATTCCTCCCACCCATATGATGACTCATATGAGTCATATGACTCATAGAGTTGTCTCTAACTCTAGGGCATTCAACACCCTCTTTTGAACTTGGCAGGCATCAGGAATGCATGGAGTGCACAAACATTCATGCAAGCAAACAATCATATACATAAATAAAATGATTTTTTTTTAAAAAAAGAAAAATAAGTTAACTGCACTTTAAAATGAAGCCATAAAAAGGAGGAAAATGAAGCTGTAAAACTTAATTTGTAAAAGACAAAGCCATACCAATAAAGGCTATTATGAATATATGGGGTATCTTCACTTTCTAATTATACAGAAGCAAATGTTTCTCAAATCAACCCAAATACAAGAATTATTTTAATCTGTGATCATATAAAATTTTAGAAGAATGTAATTTTAATGAACAAAAACTCTGCAAAGGAACTGTTGTCATTCAAGTCTACTGGTGTAACTTTATAACATCAAAAGTTCTCAAAGAGCAAGCCAGACAGGGTCCCAGCACTAAGAGGGGTAAGTGGACATGGGCCCCACCCCTAACCAAGAAGCAATGTGCAACTGAGACCTGCTAGAAAAGGGAAAATCACTTTTCTTCAGTGGAATGTTATTGGGTACCAGCAACCATACTCCAGGGCAGGCCCTATGCTGAGTAGTTGCCCAACACAAAAGGAACTCCATGGGTTTTTGTGGATATTTTATTTCATCTTAGCATTTTGAATTATTTCATTTAATTATTCTTACTGGTCTTTTTCTTGTTTGATTTTCACTTGGGTGGTAGTTTTGCTTTTTGTTTTTGTTTTTAAAAGAGAAAACATAAAGGTGGGTGGGTAGAGAGGTGGGAGGATCTGGGAGGAGTTAGGAGAGTGGAAAAACATGATCAAAACAGTGTATGAAAAAGTCAATAAAACATATACAGAATTTTTTTTTTAAGTTCTCAAATAGGACTTCCAAATTCTGGCTTGTCTTTTCACACATCACTTCTATTGAGATAGCACTCTCTCTCATATTTGATAAAAATTAAGGCAGCCATTTAATGCAGATTTTAAAAGCCTGTTGATTAAACATTTTGTTTTTAAATACTCTAACCCCCAAATTTAAGTCCTAAAGCTAACAAGAAATATAAGTAGGCCTGTCATTTTTATGTCCTCAGAAGTAATGACTTTGCACATTTTATCACCATTTAAAGGCCTTCTCATACAAATAAAATTTTATAGTATTTCTCCAGATAGGCAGTGCAGAAGTAGGTTGGAAAAAACAATGCACTAGGAGTCATAAGTTCTAGTGAGGAGTCTGCCACTAACTAGAAGACCTCAGGGAAATCTCTTTTAATGAAGGAAATAAGCCTCTTTACTTTCAACCCCCATCACCTAAACAAACGCACAGGAAAAACATGTTTTAAAATACTGAATTTCTTGGATTACTTCTTTTTTTTCAACCACAGTGCAGTGAAACTTCTGAGATCATTTTCCCTCGCCACATCTGTTCAAACTGACACTAGCAATTGTTCATTTTCTCCTTCTGTAAGACTATGTATACACAGATGACACTCGTGAGCCATAATTAGTAGGTGACTACTGACCCATCAACTCTCATTTTGCCTCACTTTCCCTGTGACTAGTTGGATGAACACAGCAGTCTGTGGTTATGAAACAGCATATTGTGTGTGAGCCCAGTTAACTCAGCTGGCTGACATAACACCATTATCCTACACTTGCTGGCAAACAATTTAAACCGATCATTTTTATTTAAAAAACTACTAATTTTGTTACAATATTGTACTGCGTTTTGCAAAAAAAAAAAAAACAAAAACCAAACAAAACAAAACAAAAAAACAAAAACTGCCTAGAAAAAAAAAAAAAAGACATCTACAATCAATTTCACTAAACAAGTTAGTGTTTTGTCTGTGCTCCTGAAAACTAGTTCAAAACACACCCAGGTGAGAAGTCATGACAGGTGATGTATGTAAGCACTCCCAGAAAAACTAAACGACATGTCACACTTGGCAGTTTCTGAGGCAGGAAAGCTGGGTAGAAAGCCACAAGTAATATCAGGGATTTGGGGTAGCACTGTGAAAGAAAAGCCACTTCTGTGGCTGTTACGTTTCACTGGAGACTGGGGCAGCACGAAACGATTCTTACAGTAAGGGACCAATGACTGAGTGAAAGGGAGGTGTGTGCCAACGCCAAAAGCGAGGCTTACAGAATCTGCTGAGATGTCAGCGTGGGAAAAGAGCACGTGAGATGTTTATGTCAGGACTCGGTGTACTATTATCGAAGCACAATCACTCACTGTTCCTATCAACTGTGCACCAAGTAGCTGGGGCTTGTAATAAAGGCTCGGGTGAAAGCACGTACGAGGGGACAAATAAAAGTCAAGTTACACAGCCCGAGCCGCCCCCCGTACCTCGGCGCTGACACGAGAGGGACCTCTTGCAAAGGTGAGGGGGTTGCCGGCCGAGGAGAAGGGACGAGCGTGCGTGGACGTGGGGGTCGGGGAAGGGAGCGCGTGGCCAGCCCCTCTCGCGCGGAAGATGCTGCCAGCGCTGCGGGCCGGCCCCCGGCCCCCCGCGATGCCCGCGGACGTTTCCCCGCCTCCCTCCCCTCCCCTCCCCCCAGGAACGCAGGCTGTTCTCACCTGGGCGCCGCCGCCAGGCACCGGCGGGTAGTGGGAAGAAGAGGGGGACACGTCCAAGTCGCTCTCCTCCTCGGCCTCCCCGACAGTCCTCGGGAAGCTCCAGGGGCCCGGCGGCGGCCACGGCTGCTCCATGTCCCGCTGGTCCGGGCCCGACAACCGCCACCGCCAACTGCCCTGGCGTGAGTAGAACCTGCTGGGCGGAGCCAGCCGCCCCGCCGGCCACGGTCGTTACCCAGAATTCCTCGGCCGCCGGCCAAGCCGACGCACGCCCCGAGCAGGCCTGGGCCGTACCGCCGGGGGACTGCGGAAGAAGAAGTAGCCGGCCGCGGCGTCATTTCCGGTGGGCCAGACGGGGCGTGGCCGCGCCCGAGCGGAGGGGGTAAGGTCCGGAGCTGACGTCCAGGGAGGCCCGGGGTGTTGAGGGTTCGGATCTCGGTGGTCTAAGGGAGTTTGGGCTTGTTCCTCCTCTCGTGCTTCCAAACTGCAGCTCCTTCGTGTACTGCAGTCTAAGCCGGCGTCGGGGGTGGGCGGGGACGGGAGTGGGATGGGGGGCGTTTTAGGAAGCAGAGCCAACTTTGCTTTAACTTCAAGTTACCCACGACAAGACACTAAAAATAAAACACTGGAGCAGACACGTTTGTGAAGAATTGAGACGAGTGGTAGACATATCGGAGGGCTTCCTGTCCCTCATATCTTGTAGAATCGTGAAGATCCGTGCTCTCACTGCCTGTCCCTTTTCTCTTTTGAGATGAAATGTTTCCAAATTGCCAGAGACCACATTTTAAGAGAAAGACCCAGAGGCGGGGAGGTGGTGGTGCATCCCTTTAATCCCAGCATTCATGAGGCAGAGGCAGGCGGATCTCTGTGAGTTCCAGGCCAGCCTGTCTACAGCTTGAGTTCCAGGAAAGCACAGAGAAACCCTGTCTCGAAAAACAAAACAAAACAGAGAGACAGAGAGAGACCCAGGGACTGGGAATGTAACTCGGTGGTAAAGGCCCTAATTTCAATTTCTAGGACAGAAAGAGAAACAGCGAGGATGCAGGGAGCCTATCTTAACAACCTGTATGTTTAACAATCAGGTCTGTTGCCTGCTCGTAATCAGACCAGACAACAGAACATCAATCTTTCAGCCTTTGATTGGCAAACTGTGTGCGAGCGAGGGGGTGGGGGGGTTCACAGGAATAAGCCGGAGGACCATATCAGTTGGCCTGCTCCATCGTTCTTCACTCTACTGAGGCAAAGTCTCTCCCTGAGCTTGCAGAACTCGAGACTGGCCCCAGGCAAGCCCGGTGATCCTTCTGCCTCAGTCCTCTTACAGAGGTGCAGGCTTTTTACACGATGGCTGCGGATTTGAACTAAGGTCCTCGTGCTTGCACAGCCAGCATTCTTACCCAGTGACCCATCTTCCCTTGCTCTGGTTGGCAAGCTCTTAAGGTTGGTTAATCCTAATGGTTGACTAATGCATGAGAAAAATGTAGTTAGAAATGCCGTGTAACCTTTAGGGAAGAGGAATGACATGAGAGGCTTATGTGCTTCTCTTCTGATTTTTCACGACCAGCAAAATACCCAACAATATTTTTACAGCAGTAGCCAAAGATTGTATCTACAAAGATGTTTTGGGGTGGTAAAGGAAAGCTAAAAATAATTAAGCAGAAGCAATGGAATTGCTCACAGATGAAGAATAAAGTAGATCTAAGTGGGCTGATATGGAAATATTTCTGAAATGAACTAAGTATGGTGGTTCATGTCTGTAATCCTGGGAAGGGCTGAGGCGTGAGGAGTACCAAGTTCACCACCACCCTGGGCTACAATAGACGGGGCACTGAGTTAAGGAAATCTGTGTAGAGTGAGAACATACTTTTTTTTTTTTTAAGGTGTGTGTGTGTGTGTGTGTGTGTGTGTGTGTGTGTGTGTGTGTAAAAATCTTGGAAGGTATAGAAGAAATTTAATAATTACCTTGGTGGCTGAAGCCACGGAGGAAAGATTCTGAGGGTCTTACTTTCACTGTTAGCATTCCTGTATTGTGCTGATTGATGATTTTCCTACAAGTATATAACTTTATAATCGTAAATAAAAGTTGAAAACCATTTCACTCAACCCCTGTTGAGGTCAAGTTTAAAAAGCCACAGGGGGGTGGGAGTGGGGGGAGTGTGACAGGTGAGAGAAAAGGGAAAAACTTCTTCCCCTCTTTATTTGAAACCACAAAGTGCTTCAAGTGGTGCCTGGCAAAGAAACCAGCTCTCTGTCGATGCAGAGTTCACTGTGAGTTCTAAATTGCTCTCCTCGATTTCCCTCCCTTCTGCCTGATCTCTAGTTTTAGAAATGCTCAGATTTTGTGTGGGGAAGGATCTTGTCAATGACTATAGGTTTCAATAACATCTGGGTATTGACCGTTCCCAAACTGTAATCTAAGCCTTGACTTTAACCCCAGTTAGCCTCACATTGTGCATCTGCATTTCGGACATCCCCGTTTAAATGTATTTAAATGTATTATTTAAATGCACATTTAAAATTTAACATGTCCAAAATGAGCCATTTCCATAGAATTTGAACATTCCCTCTCCCCAAACAGGAGGGATGTTCCAAGACTCAGAAAGCTACAAGATGCACAAGCTCAGGCTCCCAGAGTTATAAAGGCAGTAAACAGAGAGGCAAGCCACCCTGCATCCCCTCCCCGACCCCACCTCTCTGCTTCTCATAGGTCAAATGTCCTTTACTTATGAGGCTAGCCTAGCCACTGAGCCTAAATCAGGTTCACTCCCTTTCTAACCTGTAACCCTCCATCTTTGTATCTTTTTTCTTGCTATTGGCTGTACTGTCTTTTCCTGTTCTTATTGTTTCTTCTCTCACTAGAATGTGAGCGCCGTATGATGGCAGGTTGCACGTTATTCACACTTGTAGTACTCAGAACTGTACAGGATACACAGTAGTGTTCACCACATACACAGTGAATAAATGAATGGCAGTGACACAGGATGGCTGGAAGCGGGTTAAATACAGGCAAAAGAGAGCAGAAGAGGGACATGAGGAAGTGTGTTTTTCACAGATGACTATTACTTTTCTCATCACTGTTATAGAATACCAACGGAAACAACTGTAAGGAGAAGGGGGTTTTTCTGGGTTCACCGTTTCAGAAGCACCAGTCCATCATGCTGGACCAGCACCACGGTGGTGGGCACACGAAGCTGCAGCTCCTCACATCTTGGCAGATCAGGAAGCATCTGACTTAGCCTGGAAGCAGACACACACATAACCTTCAGGGCCCACTCCCAGAGACCCACTTCTCTTAGCTAGGCCGTACGTTCCAAAGGTTCCACAGCCTTCTAAAACACTGAGACCAGCTGGTATTTCAGGTGTTTAAATACATGAGCCTGTCAGAGGACATCTCATATTCAAACCATAAATGATGAAGGGGTGAATATGACAGTATGAGAAGCCTCATTGTGAGCCACTGTTAACTTCAGGGCATAAAGCTTGTGCCTAGGCACAGTAATGTTGTAGAATATTATTTTAAGGTGTGTTATCTTTGTTTATATTGCATTTGTTTAACTCTGTGAAGCTGTGTTACTTTGCCTGTCTAAAACACCTGATGGTCTAATAGAGAACTGAACAGCAATAGCAAGGCAGGAGAAAGATAGGTGGGGCTGGCAGGCAGAGGGTATATATAGAAGGAGAAATCTGGGAGAAGAGGAGAAAAGGAAGGAGCTAGAGAAGGAGAAATCAGGGGCCAGCCACCCAGCTACACAGCAAGCCACAGAGTAAGAAACAAAGAAAGGTATACAGGAATAGAAAAGGAAAAACCCAGAGGCAAAAGATAGATGGGATAACTTTAAGTTAAGAAAAGCTGACAAGAAACTAAGCCAAGCTAAGGCTGGGCATTCATAAGTAAGAATAGACTCCTGTGTGTGAATTTATTGGGGAGCTGGGTGGCAGGCCCTCCCAAAAGAGAAAAAATAACCAACAACACAGTGATTTTTTTTATAATTACTGTGTGTGTGTGTGTGTGTGTGTGTGTGTGTGTGTGTGTGTGTGTGCAAGGTGTGCAAATGTGGAGGTAAGAGGTGGAATGTGTTCTCTCCTTTACAGGTGGGTTCCATTGATTGAACTCAGGTTGCTAGGTTCACGTGGCAAGTACCTTGACCACAGATTCATCTCACTAGTGTTAATACTTAAAATAACAATAATAAAACAAGTTTTGGAACTTTATTATACTTCATATTCTTATGTTGGAAAATTTTCTACAAATTGTTTTATGTTTTAATTTGCCTTGTAATGAGCAAGCTAGTTCTTCTGAAAGAAATGGCTTTCCAACTGCAGAGTATATAGTACAAATTCCTAGCAGCTGTCCCCAAGGAAGGGTTTGTGTGTCATCATTGTCAGTGTTGAGCCCACAAATGCCAGTGAGTCCAGCTCAAGCCGGGGTTAGCACTAGTCTGGCTTATAAATGCTAATGCTGTTATATGAAATAGAGCCCATGTGTAGACTCAGATCCCGAATGGCTTCAAGATTGTTAAAGGCCTTTTCATTTGAATTTGCTCTTTCTTTGGAAGCATTCCCAAAAATTCCAGAGAACTAAGTATTCATTTTTGGTTGGTTGGTTGGTTTTATTTTGTTTTTTGAGACGGGTCTTTCTCATAGCCCTGGCAGAGAGCTATGTATTCATTAAGAAATATTCAAATTGCCACTTTGTGCTGGACATGAAGACCACTGTTCTCATAGTGCAGGGCTGCATTCTTCTTTCCATGGTGCTCCTTCTGAAATAATTGCAAGATATTAATTATAGTCTATGGTAATTGTCTGCATCTTCATTGAATTTATCACTGTATTTTCCTTTTATATGTGTGTGATATGGCTATGAAAGGAGATTTAAAACTGATGCCGCCAAGAGTCCTTTTAATGAGCCATTGTGGGGGTGGGGAGGTAATGTAAGCATGTGGTAGCTTTTCCTATTTAAGCACATATTACAGATCGAAAGGCATATGTTTTAAACACACTAATGTTTAGATCACAGAAACCTCATATCACGATTACCCAACTCAGTCACTGTCAGAATTTTGCTACATTTGCTTTATTCCTTTTATTCATTTCCTGGAATACTTGAAAGCAAAATCTAAGCTTTCTGTCATTTTACCGATCCGTGCCTCTGATGATCAGTCTTTACTGACCCCCACTTGAAGTGGGTGGCCCCATCCAATGGACTGCTGGGGAGGAACCTACAGTTTCATGCTGGCAAGGCATGCTGGCTGTCAGTGGAGTTGACAGGTTCTGGAGCAAGTGGAGTTCCTGCATTCATCTCACTCAGCTTCCTGA